CACACACACACACACACACACACATATATATATACACACACATGCTCTACCTATTCTCATTATCATTAATATTGTCATTAATTTCAGGCATGACTTTTATAACCACCTATTCACCTGCACCCACACACTAATATCCACATCCATTTCCCAACAGTGTTTTCAGGTTATAGTACAGAGGTCACACTCTCTGTATATTTCACACACATTAAATCAAGTGTGCAACACACTGTCAGATTACAAGATACAGAAGTTTTCTTTTAGAAACATACAGCTAATGTCTCCTGCTGGAATCAGTCCAGGGATGATGTAACTACATTGGTTTCATCTTTACGACACAAAAGCCGGGATGCCAGATACAGGATATGAATGCAACTTTGGATTTCCTCTTATTTTAGTCATGTTTATTCTCTCCGTAGGGGTTGCCTGGCAGTCCTGGGGCTAAAGGTGGAGCTGGAGCTAAGGTAAAGCTTTTACCAACTAATTGCATTATTTTATATGGACCTTTTCTTCTTTTTAATTATATATTTCTGTTTAGGGTGAGCCTGGACCTCGAGGACATGGTGGCATGTCTGGTGCGCCTGGACCTCTGGTAAACATGCAACCACTCTTAAGGGATTACAGTTGCTTTCATACTGTATGTTGTGCAGTTACAGTGATTAATTGTACTTTTGCATCCTCCTAGGGTGAGCCTGGTCTTCCTGGTGAGGCTGGTATGGAAGGAGTACCTGGGCCTAAGGTACAAATCCACAGTTACATTAAAAATGCAAAACCGCTGCTGCTTTAAAACCACATTCACTCACCTTTTGTTGACTCCTGCAGGGCGACAGAGGCCAGCGGGGACCGGTTGGGCCACAGGGAGCAGTCGGCAAACCTGTAGGTTACATTGTGTCTTTGTATTTATGAGTCAGGTCTTACAAACTATTTCAAGCTGATTGTCAGGTTTTAGTTCTGATACTACTTATGTGACGTCCAAACAGGGGAGCAAAGGAGAGAGAGGACCCATGGGAATGCCAGGTGCACAGGGCCTTAGTGGAACCAAGGGAGACAAGGTAAGTGTATGTGCACGGACAAATGAACAATTTTTATGTGTGAGACATGTACTGTACATCATTTCCTATTTTCAAACATACCTCATAGACAGTTACATAGACTTGTCCATTGGGGGCACTGTTTAACCATGAATAAAAGTCCCATAAGTCCACATTAAATCAGTGAATGAGGCAAACTGTATACATAAGCAATATTTTAGAACAACTTTAAAACAATTTGCTTTTTTAAATGTTGCAACAAAATGAAGTGCATGGCGAGCTAATTAAACTTCTCTTCTTTACTTTGTCAGTCAACGCGTCTGATATTAAAATTCGATCATGTTACATGATCTCAAACCATCTTTCTTTGCAGGGCTTCCAAGGAAAAGGCGGCTCAAAGGGAGACGTTGTGAGTTGCAGTTCTCCTCTTTCAAACTGGACTGTCTGAGGCCTCATACATCTCATACACCAGCTTCACTCTTCCAAAAATATTTCCAAAGTCATCCCTCTCCCTCACCACTCTTCATCTTCTCCTTTCTGTCACTTTTTTTAGGGTGACCCCGGCGTTGAGGGACTGGCTGGTGAGAAAGGTGAAAAGGTAAAAATTCACGGTAGCTCAAGCCTCAGCCGTTTCAAACTGTTTATTTTTTTCCGAAGAGACCACAAAAATATTTATACATTTGGTTCTAAAGGCAGCAGAGCAGAGTGATATATGGTAGAAATTGTTATCGCCGTGCAGACGTTAGGAAGAAGAGGAAGTCTGCTTTTGAATTTGCATACAAATCCCCATAATAATCCAGATGGCAAATGAGCTATTTACACGACAGTGGAGCAACGATGCATGTTGGCTCTTCGAAGCCTGATTTTTTTAGACATTCATTTACAATATTCATTGATGAATTATTGCTCAATGAGTGTCTCTGAGGCAGAAATGATAAATGTCTGTGTGTCTCTTTGCTGTGACAGGGTTTGTCTGGTGAACCTGGGCCCAAAGGACAGGTGAGCATCAAACTCAATTTTTCCATCATCCATTTTCCTAAATGCGCTTATCCTTCCTAAATCCGCTTATCTTAACAGCAAGGAATTAGGGGTGACTCTGGACACAACGGACCCACTGGAGATCCTGGTAAACCAGGAGATCAGGGACCACCAGGGCTTCCTGGTCCGAGGGGACTCAACGGCGAGCGAGGAGTACCTGGCATGCCTGGTATTCAGGGATCAACTGTAAGTCCATGTTACAGTATAGATTCTAGATACGCAGACATGTTGGTTTCTGTCTCTTTGTGATGCTCAGTCTCCTCTTCCTTGCTCCAGGGGCGTGATGCATCCGACCAGCATATAATCGAAGTGGTGTTGAAGATGTTGCAGGGTGAGCGTCTGGACCTGAATTTTCAGCTTTGATGTGCATAGGGGAGATTAGATTAGCTCATTTCCCAGAACTACTTTCATCTCCTGAGCAATCAGTTGCCCGTCATAAGACGGTAATTTAATCAAAATGATGATTCCTTCTCTTGGGTTACAGAGAGGCTAGCCGCAGTGGCGGTGAGTGCCAAGAGGGCTGTGCTGGGCGGCGCGGGTGTGATGGGACCTCCTGGGCCTCCTGGACCTCCAGGTTCATCTGGCCCTCAGGGGCCACATGGCCTGCCTGGTACCCGGGGCATCCCTGGCATGATTGGAGCACCTGGACAGATTGGAAACACGGGGCTTAAAGGTAGATAAACACTACTTCTGTTGAAATGTATGTTGAAATTAGAGACTTTTATCTGATTAATTTATATGCTCCACAGGAAAGAGAGGAGCAAAGGGAGAGAGGGGAGATCTAGGTAAACCTCACCCAGGACCACCAGGACCTCCTGGAATACAAGGTAAAAGAGTCTGGATGAAAGTCTGCAAGATCTATGCACATAAAACCAGGGCAATCTTAGAGGCAAAGTGGGCAATTATCTGAAATTACCCAAGAATGGCAATGACAATTCAATTCTGTGATCAGTTAAGTACAGAAGACTGCAACGATGGTCAAAAACCCCCTAATGAGGCCCCATACCACCGTTTCTCAACAGCTTCATAATGTTTGGTTGAGGACTACAATGTCCATGTGCATGTACATGTGTTTGTTGGGGGTGGGGTTCAATGTAGTGGCCCCTCCATTACAATAAGTAAGTGAAGGACTTGACATTACAGTGTCTGTGACAGGAGAAGCTGCTCAAAGGCATTTTAAAAGCATCATTAACTCCAGTCATTTAACAGATGCTCGTGAATGTAATAGCAGAAGCAGACACTAATTCAAACTCACACACTCTATGCACATACACACAACTGCAATGTATGAACACATACAGTGCACACATGTAGTCCAGAAACTTGATCCGTTATATTTACCCCCACCAAAGGTCCTCCTGGTCTGGATGGTGTGGCTCAGGATGGCAGGCACGGTGAGAGAGGACCTCAGGGATCAGCCGGAGAGGCAGGTCGCCCTGGTAAGGCAGGCGCGCAGGGTCTGCCGGGCTTCTGCGAGGCAGCAATGTGTCTGGCCGCGTCAGCGTACACCTCCCCGAGACTACAGGAGGCGGGAACGATCAAAGGACCCAATGTTTAAGAGGCCTGTCTCTCCATCAGCAACTCAAGACATCACCCTGGAGAGAGGAGGAGGAAGAAGAGGAGGAGGAGAGAGAGAGAGAGAGAGAGAGAGAGACAGCTCCTCTCATGTCGGACAACATCAAGAACAAGGGGTGGGGGGACAATAATAGTGACTGGATGTATGGCGCCCCCTCCTGAAACTCCCAACCTTTAAGCTTTGACTGGCGGGACATACTCTGATCTTAATACCCCCCACATCACCGAGCAGCAGCTCACAGCCACCCACATGCTTTCTAGTATTTTTTGGATGACGTCAGTCCTGTCCATATTTCCCAGGAACATCTGCTTTTCCCTCCCACAACAGCGTCTCTGAGCTGAAACGTAAACCTGGTGAAAGATGCTTCTCTTTTACACCGAGGTCACTTTAAATGATTTTTACATATGCAGCATTTTATTTTTAAATGTTCAACATCACACCCGATGCCTTTAAAAGAGTACAAAAATAAATGATTGCAACCTAATGTCACACTCAGTACTGTATTGTAAAATCTAGTATTTTCATCTGACAGCTTGAGTGATTTACCTCATGTGTACATTGCCTCCCTTTTTCCCCAAATCCCTGCTTTCTACCCAAGCCTCATTTTAAAAACTAACGACTAGCTTTATCTCTTCCTCTTGTTGCCTGGCAACAACATATCCCGATGGGCACTCCCATCTCCCACAATGCAGTGCTGTAAATCTTTGTAAATGTGTGTTGATTATTATGTAGAGAAAAATGAATGGGTTTCGATATGCACCAACAAAAATCCTGTGTTAATGAATTCAGTGAGTAATAAAAAAGTTCCTACAGAAATAATGAGTTCTCCAAACGAATCCGTTACCAGTGCGGATGTGCTCCCTATGCCACTGTCAAACTTTCCACAGGGTGTTGGCGATTTTGATTTATTTTCAACAACAAAACTATTTATTGTTCTTTATATAACCATCTGTAAAGAGGTTTTTTTTTCTGGCTGTTCAGGTAAACCCAAACCAATAAAAAGGAACCTTTTGTAAAATCCAACTTTCCGCAGTATCATGTGGGGAATGGAAATCAGTGTCTTTGGTCTGTCTCGCCTCTTTCAGCTCCTTCTCATTTCTCATATTAAAGCAGGCATGTAAATAAACTCCTGTGCTTTGGAAGATATTTTTGCAGCGCCAACGCCCAAAAAACTTCTGACGCAATTAAGTGTAATTGATCAAATGTTTCAAACAACAAAAAAACACGCTTGTTCAGTTCTGCTTTCAAAATGACGGTTTTCATTCTCAAATGTTTCATTAAACAACATATGTCAGACACAATGACAGCAAAGCAACAGATGCACAGGTGGAGTTGATGGATACACTGCTGAATGGGGCCTATCAGGCACAAGAAGTCAGTGGGCCCTTGGGCCAGAGCCTCTGTTTGAGGTGACAGAGTCAATCGATCCACTGATCAAAGAGGCTCAAAAGACCACAAACACACAAAACGATGCAAAGGAGACAAGTTAAAACACAAAAATACATAAAACAATATAAAAAGACACGAAATAGCACCAGATATGCTCAACTTCTGCTATTTTCTGGATATGCTACTAGCGGTGGAGGGGTCTTTTTCACATGTCTGTGCCCAGGGGCCCATTGTCTCGTAATATCTGGATGATCAATATTACATGATGATTGAAAAAGCAGTGGGATTTAGTTTGAAGTCAAACATTTCTCATGAGTTAGCTTGTGAGAAACTTGGAGAAACTGTGAATATTAATCATCCAATACTATTTTCTGATAAACAAGTACAAAAAACTAGAAAAAACTGCACCATTAAACACTTCTATTTTTTCTATCCTCACATGTGATTGTTGGGGTTTTTGTGTCTGCAGAAAATGTGTTGCATTACAGTACCTGTGGTAATAGGGCTCAATTATTGCTCCTGTTTTTTCTTAAACAAGTGCCCGAGTGAAGTGGACAGATGGCTATTACAGCTACTTTGGAATACAAGATGAGATGCTTTAAAATGGCTGTTTCTCCACAAAGACCGGAGTTGAAATGAGCAAAATGTACCAGAGCAAAAAAAATAATTACAAAAAGCCAATGTGCTTTCTTATGTAAACACAATTTTCCTCTATAAATAATTTGTCTCTTACTGAACATTTATTCCCTTTTGAAAGCTTATAGAAAAATATCCCTGTGGCATGTTTTTGTTGCCGTGGAACCACTGACAATGAAAAATTAAGTGTTTAGCCATGCATACGACTTTTACCAAATCCTTTGAAAAGTATCAAAAGCCACCATATATATATAAATATAAATATATACAAAACAGTCAAAGAGGGTATGAATGCAAGTTTGCGACTTCTTCTGTTTCTACAAAACCGAAATACCTTTCTAGGGATATTCTCTTACAAGTCATATTCAAATATGTATCACACCTCAGGCACTGAGACAGAATATGAAATGAAATGAGCGGGATGCAATCCAAATGGGATTCAGTGACAAAGAAGAAAGATACGAGAGGTGGAAGCAAAGTGCTACGATAATTGTGTGTATTCTCTTCCTGCAGATTTAAGACGAAGAGAAAAAATAACAGAAGAAGCCAGAATTAATCAAGGAGAAGAAAATACAGATTGTGATTCTTGTCACCTCCCCTGGGTTGTTTGAAAATGTACAAAAGGAGTGAAAACATAGTGAGAAAATAAGAGGCAGTTATAAAGCAATGAATTGGCTTTCACAGGGAGAAAGAATGACGCAATAAAAAAGTGCTGCTGGTGTGACGTAGACCTCAGATATGTGAGGACCTTACAATGAAATTATGTATTTTTGCTCAGAACTACAGTAAAAAACATCTGTGTGAGTAAAATGTATACAACTCAAATATAACAACAGGCGCTCAACTATTTAATCAAATTCACTAACTTTGGATCATGGTCTTTGGTAGTTCTGTCTTGTTTGTAGTCTCTTTGCTTCAGTCCCCTCTGCTCTTCTCCTCCATCACCTCTACCAGGGGCCCTTCATAGGTGGGCCCTTGGGGCTGTACTCTACTTGATGATGGCTCATACAGTCTGCAGGATTACACCGGCCATCATTTCCCTTTGTACCAGACTGACCAGGAGATCCTGGGATGCCGGGAACACCCTGCTGACCAACAGGACCTGGAGGTCCCATTTTACCATAGCCAGGTGGCCCCGGGATGCCTGGAGGAATCAAGGAAAGAGAACAATTGTCATAAAAGTGCTGCTATCGCTGTCTTGGTTCTAAGGAGGCGGTATTATAAAAAAATATTTACGTTTTAGTGGGAATCAATAGAATACAATACATTCTTCATGTATCTTTGCTTTGCTTCAGTATATTTATTTTCAGGTACTTTTCACTTACACTCACACATATGTATACATTTACACATATATCAGCAATTTAGTTTAATCTGTTTAGTTTAAAGTCATCAACAACAAATGTAAAATGTTTTAAGTACTTTCTCCACCATTTAAACATTTTTTCCATGTACATGTTAAAATCTGATATTATAAAAAGTTATTCTCATGAAATTTACTTTACTTTTTTATATTTTGGACGGATTAAACAAACAAGGGCGTGTTAGTTACTGATCTGTGCAGGTCGTGTGCTTTTTGTTCGTATTGTTTCACCTTTGCAGGCTGTTTCCTGTGTTTGGCCTTTATGCAATGCTAAGCTAATCAACTGCTAGCTTAATATTTCCCGTATATATAGCATCAACTGTAGCATCAATATTCTCATCTAACTCTGAGTTAAACTGTGAATAACATAAATGAAGGTTTATCCACAAACTGAAGGACTTTAAAGTTCTATTGGTGTGAACTCTAAAGTTCACTGTAGATGATGTTAATCATGAGGGAAACATGAAACATTGAAATCCTAATTAGAATCCTATTTTGACCATTTGATGTAAGCATGGTTGCTTTTTCAACCAAAAATGAAATCCACTGCAGGTGCTAATTTGCTAATTTAGCAAATGCTATCTGAGCTTTGAGATAATTAAAGCTTCTCAGATGTTGATTTGGTTGATTAGCAGCCTGCTAATTTTATTCAAGACAGTTAAGGAACGATGAAGAATTACTTTCATCAAGCAAGCAATTTACTAATCAACAAAACACAAACCTTTTAAAGTAATTAGCATTGTTTATGTGATATAATGTAAGTAAGGGGTGGAACATCAGGTGCAGCTAACATGTGTATGTGAAAGAAATTATAACTCAAATGTTTCAGTGTTTAAACTTTGTTTTATCGAATGTGTGAGACAGTGCACTCACTAATGGATTTACCACATCACTGAAGATATTGCTCAAACAAAATTGCTACCACTTTAGTTGCAAGTGGGGTACATTACCTGGTGCTCCTGGAGGTCCTACATCTCCCATCTCTCCAATACCCTTGTCTCCCTTTTCTCCATGTGGTCCTCGAGGTCCTACAGAAAAAGAATCATAAAGTTTAGGCACATGACACATGACAACACCATCGCCACGGTGCTTTGAGTGAAAGGCTCACCTGGGGGTCCTTGGGCTCCTGATCGGCCTTGTCTGCCGATCTGTCCGGGGAGGCCAGGTGCACCTGGGGACCCGGGATTACCTGGAGTACCGTCTTTCCCTGGGGGCCCGGGGCGACCTGGGGATGCCACCATCTCTACTGGCATCTGCATGCGAGACATGTAGTACCCCATTCTCTCTGGGGAGAGGAAACATGCAAAGAGAAGGTTTTCTCAGGTGTCAAGAGCTGTGGTGTCCCTGAGGAAAAAATTTAAATGATTTGACAGAGAGAGATACAAATCTGGAGATAAAACATTGCTTTGGTTTAGAAATTGTGGCCAGATGCACAGTAAAGATACACACAACACCAGCAGAGATAAGCTTGTCCCTACCATCGAAGATCTTGATGACCTGCTGGCGGATGAAGTTTTTGATTTCGTCATAATTGACTACAGCCTGTGAGAGGACAAAGGAAAAATTGGAGAAAAACATTAATCAAAGTAGATAATTAGAAATTTCATTATTTACAGGAACAGATGGAGACAGCGAGCGCCTCTGGCCACTATACTTATTAAGATGATTAAAAGTTAAAAATAACATAAAGATCAGGCTACTGTGCTGGAAGAGTTAGCAACATAAATCTCACATCATTTCCTGGTGAACCCTGAGGTCCAGGGAGCCCCGGGGTTCCTGCTGAGCCTTGACTTCCCCTCTCCCCTCTGGGACCGACTGGGCCAATCATGGGCTGTGCATCCTTGGAGTGGTATGCTCCACCACCAGGAGGCCCGGGTCTGCCTCTCTCACCTGGATTACCTTTCTGGCCTGGGGCCCCTGGTTCACCCTGGAAGGCACAATGTAAAGTAAGTGGATAAAAGCAAATCAGTGATTTTATTTTACTAGTATATGTCGTTTTTTTTTAAGAGACTGGATAAAAGTGGGTATTCATCACAGTATCCATATCATAGATGTTTATAAAGATGGACAACATGACTGCTCCCAAAACTGAAGCCAAAGTGCCTTGATTGCCACCTAGTGGTTTGCTGCAGTATGGGTCATAAACTCCTGGCTCCTTCATGTAAACAGTGGGGACATAATACACATCAAATATATTGGGCTTTATTTCTAGATATGTTTTCATTTACATTAGTTTAAAACCTTATTATCGTGAATTCCACGCATTTAAAACTTCTGAACATCACTACTATGCACTGATTGCATTAGACCTTACTTTCAAGACACGGCACAACAGCACATTTGCTTCCTCGTCGAGGTAGAGATAAGTAAATTGATACTGCTATCAATAGCTTGTTTTAAATAAGGAATAAGCCCTTGAAGACAGCTTTGGGCTACATCTATATCACTTTCCACTCAACCAACAGAGCCAACTCAGCTTGTGTAAATACAACCCAGAAAAACAGCGCCAGTACATTAGAGACAGTGATTTATCGAGGACAAAGCAGCCCATAATGGACGTCTAATGTTTACACGTCACAGACAGACAGGCGGCCCTTGAAATAGAGAGGACGCCGAAGAATAGAGGAGTCCGTTCTTGTCTTTCTCCTCTGTTCTCCTCTTCGGCGCAGCTAAAACCCTGACAATGCCGTCCTGTCAGCGTGACAAATAGCCTCATCTAGCATCTCCCCTCGTGCTTAATAGCATTATCCCAGAGGCAGGAGAATAACTTTATCACTGAATCCACCTACAGTACAGTAAGCCTGCGTCTAAGGAGAGGTCCAACAGGCTCTGCAGCCACCGAGGGCTCACTGGCAGCCCCCAGCTGCCAGTTTAGAGAGGGGTGAAGTGAGGTGAGGAGTAAAGAGGGTGTCGGTGAGGGAGTCAGAGGGTTTGTGAACTGATGAATGTGTTTAGTGTGGGTGCTGAGCGGGCAGAAATGGAGGGAGCGAGCCTGTTCAGCACCACAGTGCGACGACCTGAGTCTCCCCCAACTAAAAGCGGGAGAAAAAATGGGGCATCTTGCTGCATTCAGATGGTCTGCGGAGGTAATGGATGGTTAATGCTCGGCACACACACTCACACACAGACATAATGTATTGTTCTCAGCTCTTTACCTTTTGACCTGGCTGCCCATTGTCCCCTGGTATCCCTGCCGTTCCCTGTCAAAACAAACACAGGAATATCCATCAAGCAGTGAAAAATAGACATCCCTGCATCAATCTCTCTCCATTATCCTTTAATAATAAGGACAAACACCACTACCGCACATTACTCACATCTTTACCAGCAGCACCATCAGTGCCTGGCTCTCCCTGAAAGACAAAATCAAAGCAGGAGAAAAAAGAGGGTTTACGTGAGATATATTGGCGTGTAGCAGCTTGGATGGAGTTTCATTAAATGTACTTTGCATTTATTTGGAAGTGGGCATATGTTGAGAAGCACTTACCAAGGGACCTGGGTGCCCAGGGGATCCTGGGGGTCCTACCATCCCTGGGAGACCCCTATCACCAGCCTGGCCCTTATCTCCCTTTATACCCTGAAAAGCAAGGGAGGAAAAAAATGAATAATATAGATTCTCTTCTGGTGTTTTGCATTTTTGGCAGCACGCTAACACACATTAATTCAAACTTCATAATTCTATAACATTAGTTGCCACTTTCTTATCTCTGGTCATTCGTTTGCTTTTTTAAATACATGTATGTTTCTTTTGCTATTTATTATCAGTAATTTTTTTCCCTAACTTGTCGATGATTTTGGCTTCTGAATCAATTCATTTCCCACTTTCAGAACAGTTAAAAATTCAATGAATCTAATTTAATTCTGCGTTTTCCTTACCACTCCTGATGGACCAGGAGGTCCCGGGGGTCCAGCTTGACCATTGGTTCCCTGGTGGTGAAATAAACACACATACACACATATTATTATATGAAAACATCAGACGTGTGAGATTTAAAAGGGCAGTGAACTTACAATGTGGCCGGGGGGTCCAGGTCGGCCTTGAGGTCCTGGGGTACCCGGATCACCCTGGAAAGGTCATATATTGACTTTTAGTGATCTCCAGCGTAAAACAGACTGATATATATTTAAAAATGTATATATGTGGCCTTGCAATTGAATACAAACGGTTGGGTAATGCAAGTCAAAATTCAAGGGGGCACATGGGGTTGGGAGATGAAATGATAAATAAAGAATAATGTTTCTCATAATAATGTCTGCTGATTTACTTGGTAACAAATATCACACAAAACACATCTCTAACTCATGCAGGAATCACAGATCTTTCAAAGTAGGAGTATTCTTTCTCGTGGGGCAGAGCACGTCAGGAACCTACAGTGCCCCACATGTTTCCTAATGCAAATATGGAACAGCAGTGAGCAATAATATACAGCGGGATTCAATCTGCCCCTACGCTGTCACTACTGAGGTGAGGCAGGGGGACAATAACATTTTCTGTAACTAAAAAATGCTTTATTCTGTGTTTGTGGCAAACAGTGGAAAAAAAAATATATATATATATATATATATATATATATATATATATATATATATATATATATATATATAAGTCAGAGGATCTCTGTGGACATGAAGCCACTGTGTACATAAATTACCTTTTTTTCATAGGGGAAAATGAAAGAAGACAAAAATAGTCACCTCATGCCCTGGCCTGCCTGAAGCTCCAGGGGGACCTGTGGGTCCAGCCTCACCCTGAAAAGATGAGGAGGTGATGAAAAGGTAGAAATGGAACATGAATGGAATGCATCACATGTCAGCTAGTAGACCTAAAACGTCAACACTTGTGTGACGGCAGGTTTTATAGTTGTCATTTGGATTAAACAGCTTGTATTAATGAACAAGCATCAGGCAGATACAGCGAGTAGACAAACGGACAGACATGGTGTGAGTGCAAAGCAATGAGTTGTTGGCTGACCTTCTGTCCGGGGAAGCCAACATGACCAGTTTTCCCTTTGAATCCCTGAGGAGACACATCAAAGAGCATGAGATTGGTGCGCTATCAAAATTCACAAAGTTGAGGCTGCCAGAGAACAGGCAGACGTGTCTTTGAAATCCTGAACACCTGCTCTCGGGTAGAACACAAACTGAGATACAGAGAGCAGGAGAGAGGACTATAAAAGAAATGGAAGGAGAGGTGGGGGGGAGAGGCATCTACACTTCTCTCTTCAGTCTGAATGTGAATATCAGCATCTGTGCTGTGTGGATACACAACACAGAGAGTTAGAAAAAAAATATAAATTCAAAATAAAATTACTACTGAATGGATTACCACTAATTTGGTAGGTCAGGGAAGAAACCATTACATTTTGGTGAAGATCCAGATCAGGGGGCTGATCCAATCCTTTTTTTCCTTTAACATTGTGAGATAGGTCTTTCTTCAACATTTTTCCAGGGAATAATTCCGAAAAATCAGGCACATTTAGGTAAACTTATATCTATGAGTGAATTCAAGGGGGGCTGTTTGCTGGAGGTATGTGCTTTGCTGTCACTAACGCTGCGTGCCATTCCAGTTTTTACATTAATTCACTTTAGAATGGATGTTATTGAGTACGTTTGTGAGAGTCAAAGTATGTTTGTGCATGAACTAGAAAACCCAAAAAGTTTTTGGCTTAAAGTGCCACGAAGAAACTCATATGCAACAGATTAAATTGATGGGTTGTGAGTCTAAAAGGTTGAGAACCACTGGTCCAGATATTTATTCTGTAGAGAGCTTTAAGTCCCTTTTAAACAGACCCCCCCCCCCATTATACAGTTTCACAAAAAACCTTTGAGGGTCTGCTACTAACACCAGATATTAAGTATTAAAACATGACCCACATTAATAATAAAGTCATAATAAATTGATAATTATTCATTTAAACATGCATTATTTTGTACATTTAGGTCAGAGATACTGATATTGATTTGGATATATATACTGCTGTGTGCAGGCAGTGCCCATCAGATGCTATCTCTTATGCAAGACGGGAAGGGTTGGCTTCCCTTGAACATTGTTCTTGACTTATAAACTTGATTGTTACGCAGTAGATTTCTCATGTCTATTTATACTGTTGTTTTTTCTGCACTACATCGATGGAGAATCAAATCATTCCTAGTCAATGTTAGAGGTGATACTCACTGGGATTCCTCTTGGTCCTGCAGGGCCTGGAGGTCCCAACTCTCCCTGAAAACAAAATAATAAAGAAGTAACCAGTGTCAAAGGTCAACTATTATATGCATGTGTTTCACTGTACTCACTGTAGCTTTACCACATGGTGCATTTGGATGTTGTGTGTGTGTGTGTGTGTGTGTGCATGTCACCCGTGACTTACCCGCAGCCCTGGTTTACCATCTTTACCATCCATTCCTTCAATGCCAGGGGGGCCCTTTCAGTGCAAAACAGAGTGAAGATGAGGATTCTGAGCAGCACACAAAGTGCATACATGTAAAAATGGGTCAAACCTGGGTAATAAACAGGGATATAAAACACATGTACCATCAATCCTGGAGAGCCTGAAGAGCCTGGGGGTCCTGTCGGTCCCTGAGACCCTTGTGCACCATCGTTACCCTTTGAAAATGGGAATTTTCAGTCCAATGACTTTTAGATTTTTGGGATGCCAAGAAAAAAACAGAACCAGCTACATGTTTGTATGTTTGATACTCACTTTTTCACCTTTGAGCCCCGGCATGCCTTCCCTTCCACTCTTGCCAGCAAGACCTGGTTGACCCTAAAAATAAACACAGAGATATGCACAGTCCCTGCACACACTCCTTAAGTGAAATATGCAAGAGAGAAGATAAAACATTAACATACGGGTGATCCTGGGAAGCCTGGTTGTCCTTGGAAACCCTTGGAATAAAAGGAGCAAGAAATGAATTGTGTTTCCAATAGTCATGTTTTTCTGTTATGTGTATTGTGTTTTTCCATACCGGTTCTCCTTTGCTACCTCCTGGCCCCGCTGGTCCTATGTCTCCTTTAATGCCCTGCACACACAGATTGGCTCAAATAATTAAGGAGTTATTAAACTTTGAATTGATAGATTCAAGAGGAGTGGGGATACTGCCGAGGTAAATTTACAATGACACACTGACCTGTGAGCCAGCCTGTCCTTGGTACCCAGGGTTACCAGGAGGACCCTACACAGGGGAAGGAAACATAGTCTGTAATATGTGAACTTGAGCTGCATGTTCGTTTATTTCACATAACAGAGCTGGTGCAGCAGCTTACTGATTCTCCTTTCTGACCACTGCCTCCTGGAGTCCCACGTTCACCCTTCAGTCCCTGACAAATAAAAACCAGCAGTAAAATCAATGTCAGCTCACATATCAGCATAACCATCCATCCGTCCATGAAAACTGGACGTTCATTGTCAATCCCACAGTTATAATGAGGCGTCAAGAGGAACTTACAGGCATGCCAGGCGGTCCCATGGTTCCTGGATAGCCCGCTGTCCCCGAAGGGCCCTGAGGTACAGATCATGCAATCAATCAGACAAGCAATTATCTTTTTTCTTCATGTTATCATTTTTTGAAGGGGAAGTTGATTGGCAGATAGATACCTGCTCGCCCTTCAATCCTGAGAGGCCGGGTAACCCTCGCTCGCCCTGCTGACCCTGAGGATGGCGGGAGTGAAGAATGATTAGAAAATGAAGGACGGGATGTGGTATGCATGTCAGGGGGAAAGGTTGCGCCACCGCCCCGGGTGGAAATGAATCAAGGACAAGGCGAGTCAATATCAAAGGGAGGAAGCAGCTAACAGGCTTGGATCGTCTCCCCTGGAGAGTGCCTACATTTGATTTTGTCCCTTTCCTCTACACCTCTATGAGGCTTCGGGATGGGAAATTACCTGTGTGACGGTTATGACCACGGGCTGAACACTTCCTCCTCTGTCCAATTTGTTTGCAATTCTTAAAAAAAGATCCTGATTTTCAGCATCGCTTCACTTCATCTCTTATTCTGCTGCAGATTCAGATCCGTCAAATCACTTCTCTCTTATTTATTCTCATTGTTGTTGTGCATACAGCACCCACAGGACAGTCTCATGACATATGGAAAGCCCATATATTCTCATTTGTTCATTTGAAGTAAATATTATATAAGCATGTGTGCGTATCATCTGTTGTATTATCAGTAGCCCGGCAACAGAGTCTGCAAGCTGAAGACAGATGAGATGATGTTGGAGGAAAAAGAAAGGAGAGAAGTTTTAAAAAAATGTCAGAGGAAATTAAATATACTCTCAGAATTGTGAAATTGCTTTTAAATGGTGGAAGCTGGGTTTGTTTTTCGAATTGATAAAAGAAACTACACTTTATAAACTAGTAGATATCACATTGAGAAACGAGATGAAGTCATATGATATCTTTTAGTAGAGAGAGATTAGTGAGGACAGTGTTATAATCAATCATACTGAGTTGAGACTAATTAGCTGATCATAGTGAGAAACTTCACACTACTCGACGTGAGCGATCTATTCTGCGACAGCTTCACAATTCACCCCTTGTTTTTCACAAACAGCACACACCCAGCAGCAGCTAACACCTCCTATTAAGTTCGACTAGTTTGCAAATGGATTCCATGCGGCGCTCACGCGGCTCATCCATTTATAGTCTCCGTTCTCCTAAAACAATAAATCTCTATGAGGAGGAAGTGGTTGGGGGGGGGGCTCTGTCTACACAGCAGCTCCACTCTCCATCACTTAGACACGGGAGTAATTGAACAACTGGTGAGAGAGACAACTAAATAATTTCCTCATCTGAAAAAACTTTCATTAAAGACGCATAGAGAGAGAAGGCATGTAGGAGGGAGAAGGAGAGCGAAGAGCAAAAATAAGAGAGAGGCAGAGATGATGACAATAAAATCAGATGTGGAAAGTTACTAAGTCACTCGAGTACTGTACTTGCGTATGGTTTTGAACTGTTACTACTTTGATTAAGTATTTCTATATAATGTTACTTTATACTTTTTATTTGATTACATTTATTTAACAGAGATGGTGACTGGTTAATTTTAAAACTTAAAAGTTAAGATCAGCAGGCAGATTGACAAATTAGATTTACTTGGTTACTCTACTTTTAGTTACTTACTTACTTTTATTCAAGTACACAAGTTAATGTGGTACTTTTACTTGGTTAAAATGTTTGAGTACTTTCTCTACCACTGCATAAGATATAATGACTTGTTCAGAAGTAAACCAGTGGACATCAACCATTTTGGCTTATGATCTCTTACAGAAAGCAATATTTAGTTTTAGATTTTAATTTCAGATCTTTTTGTTTACCAAAGAGACATTTCCCCTTAAAAACATCTGAGAGGTTTTATTGAAATGACAGTTTGAATTCCACTTAGGTTGAGTTATCCAATTCTTCGAAAATTGTATGTATATTGTATTGTGTATTAGAACCCCCACCCCCCCCGATTAATTGTTATAACACCCGTCAGACTTTTGAGCCTAACTCAAGTCATTAGAAGTAGTTTAACACATCAACACATCTGTTAAAAGAATATACATGCACATTAGTGGCAATTTTTCAGGAGCAGAATTTGTACTTTGTCAATACTTCAGTACCTTTAAACAGGACTTGTATTTAAGTGGTTTGAAATATATGTATTAGTGCTTTTACTTATGTAAAGGATCAGAGTAGTTCTTCCATTATCGATTTAAAGTTAAGAAGAAAGGGGAGAAAAATAAAACATACTTTGAATTTTGTTCTCTTCAACCAAATTAGTGATGTATCTTGACAACCTCTTCAGATTGAGAAGTGCAGGACTTAAGTTGTTAAAAGTAGCTTTACTTAAACCTACAATAAAATCCTATGTACACATTGTAAAAACAATTAAAACTATTGTTGCTTAGACACGTGTATTTTACTTCAGGAAAGGATCTGATTAATTCTCCCATTACTGATTAAGAGACGAAAAAAGTGAGAACGAAGTTAGAAAGTGTGAATGCAACTCACAGGTAAACCAGGTGGGCCCTGAGGACCTGGGAAACCAGGAGGTCCCTGTGAACAGAAATAAGTGAAATTAACACTTTAAAACACCTGAGACAAGATAAACAGACATTTAGAAAAAGTCTACTGTGGTTAAATTGATTCAACTTGTTCCAATTTATTGACCCCTGCATCACAGGAAAGCTCATATGTGTAAATCTGTGTTGAAGAGATCGTGTGAATGTTTGTCGAGCACTTTGTATGACGTGTTCATTCAGACCAGCAGGGGGCTCTGTGAGCTCACGCAAAGTTGCAAACAGAGGCTCCTTTCCAGTCGCTTCATATCTGCAGCTTTGAGACAGAAACACTCAGCGGTGCTGTTCTAAAATCTTAATCAAATCTTTCCCCGCACAGAAGTAATAGCAAACTATTGTATACCATCATTCTCAAATATCTTCAGATGATAACAATAATTATTTTTTTAGTTAGGAATACATCATCAAAGTGCCGCGAAACTTTTTCTTTTCCTTTTTTCAAATCTTCAGATTGCAGCACATTCACACAGCAGATGAGCTTTTCAGTATAAGAGTCCACATTACAGCTTTGTAGTCTTTCAGGGAGTTGACAAAAGCAAGCACAAAGTTGACGAACATCAGATGAGAACACTAGATACATAAAAGTCCTCCTCAGACATGAACTGCGGAGGATGTCCGTACACTTTCTCCGGCATTTGCCTTTCACACATCCCACAACACAGCTGGAGATACTCTTTCGCAACAACAGCAGAGAAAGTCTGGAAGGTTAAGCTCTCAGATTTGCATTCGCACATACAGCCCCTCAGAGTTCAGTGCACATCTGAGAACACCTGAAACATTACCAACCTGGGAGATAAAAGAAATGAAGTTTGTGGGAACGTTAACTTGCGTGCTGACATTTCTTCTCATCCAGCTTTCTAGTCTTGCACTTAACAAGCAAATATTTCCCTTCAACTAAAATTTAGCAAAATATTTATCTTGCTCCACTGTTGATGAACTAAAAGTGAAACTCTCTGGGGGATTGATGTGAAAATAGGTTGAAGATAAAATCTAGATAGGCTCACCAAGTGACCTGGTGCTCCAGCTTGGCCTCTCTCTCCTGGTGCACCCTGTGGACAATAAACAGAGAGAAAGTAGATCAAGGACAGCTGTACAGTTGTAAAGATATACACACAGGCAGACAAGCATTACAACTGGTTTTAATGTTGCAGCTGATTGCTACGTTTTTTGACTTTGGGGGAATCATTTTTGACTAAATACGTTTTAAATCACATTAATGGTGTTTCAGAGTGAACTAAATGAAAAACAGGCTTCGGATATAAACCAATTTATTGTTGTGGCAGATTGGTTGTGCATGAGGAAACACAGACACGTTATAATCATTATTTTGTCTTATTTTCTTTTTAATTTTCACTACCCTCTTCATTTAACCTCTGTATTCAACAATGTATTATTTTTGCAAGTTCTAAAAATCCCTCCCACACCCTCCTTCAGGCTGCCATCACACACTTGTACTCACACTTACACATGGATGCACATGTAAATCCTATATGACTGCCCTGCACCCTCTGGAACACCATCTAATTTGTACATACTTGATTTTTATATGTTAAAACACACACTCACTGCATCTCCTTTAATTCCTGGTGGTCCAGGCACTCCTGGAATTCCTGGTGATCCCGACTCCATCTGCATGACAAGAGAATTAAAATACCAGGAAATGTGCATGTGATCCTCCATCACAGTGTACAGCATATGAAGTGTTAGTGCTCATGTCAACAGAATATGACAATGATCTCAACTGACCGCTGGTTGTGTCGCCTGCTCCCTCTGCAGTCTCTCCAAACACTGCAAGCAGACAAGAGAGCAGGTCATCAAAGTAATGCTTCACTGCCGGCGCGTTCATATGTCAGACTGACGACTCGTAGAAAGCCACACAAACTCAAATAAAAAGCAAAAACCAGGGAATGTCATTGTGCACCCGTCAGCGCACAACAACACACACAGTGGCTGCACTATTAGAGACATTTCATATGATCCTGGATGTAGAGAATCGTATCCTGAAGCTGAAAATGTTTTGACAAGAAAGAAACTTGCAGTCCCCCAGAGTCTCACCCTGTCACAGCTGTCCAAGGGGGTTGCGCCAGGCTTGCCCTGATCTCCTTTCTCACCCTTGGCACCAGACACGCCGGGCACCCCTGGCAACCCTTGGGAACAGTCCCCCTCACACTCTTCCTGCGTTTCAGAAAACACAGACATGCACATAGAAACACCAATCAGCCATCACAGTAGAACAGATAAGTTAAGTGTTGTGGCTGATCAGTGAACACGTAGCTGAACTCACAAGCTGAACAGTTTTCATAAGAAAAACAAAATAGGCAAAAGCACGGAGTCACTGATTATGAAGCACAATCCCCAGAATGATTTCACTCACGTCTGTATCTCCTCCAGTGGCATCTTGAGGCAGCTGGTCTGGGCTGATGGGGATCTACACAGGGAGGCAGGGAAATGGAAATTCAATTAAGATTAATTATCATTATTATTAAGATAAAAAAGAATCACTGGTTATGTCGAATTCTAAAAATCAGCTATGTTTGTCACATTCAAGAAACTAAAGCAAAGTTCCCCAATGTGAAGTATGGACTCTTCAAGGACTATGACATTTCACAATGACAATACACCCTACACAGATTTTTCAAACGTTCAGATTCAATTTATTTATCACAGGAGTCTCAAACATAAGATTCTTATCTAAAATTACAAAGAATCTTATGAAACATAACATAATCCCTGGAATTTCTCAGAATATTTCTAACAATATACTAATTGGAAAAAAACAAACTGAAGCCTTTATAAACTGTGGAAAGCCCACAGTTCAGTGTTGGAGTGTTACAAATACAAATTGTTTAAAAATATATATCAGATAAACCCTGGAAAGAGAAAAAAAAAAATTGGCTGTGAAGCTGTAATTAAATTGTGTCAAGGGCTCAAGTCTGCATCAGGAAAGTTTGAATATTCACAGTGTCGCCTTAATGAAGCAAAACAGAAACATGGAACTGGTTCCACAATAGATACAAACACCACAATAAAGTTACTTTGTCTATTTATAGTGAGTTCCAAAACAAAACTCCTCACTCCATGTGGCCAATCACATCCATTGTGAAAGGCGGTTGCACCCCATCAAAACAGTGGGACCCGTCTCCACTGAGTGTCTGTCAATAGCACCTGGCCTGGTTTCACTGTCATTACAAATCCATTTGACATTGTTCAAACTGCAGCCATTACCCAGAGAGGCTAGTTCTAGGCCACCTGCTATTGGCTGTCACGCGTTGCAGACATTCATTAATGACTCACCCGAAAGGAGGTTCGCTGTAATTATGTCAACATGTAACGTTCGCTCGAGCCACTTTGCTAAAATGCAACCTTTGTGAGCTTTCTGAACAACGTGCTGTTGCGTTTTAAAGACAAAGCAGTTTTTTTGAAGGGTTCTTAGAACTGCACGGCCACTTTAGGTTAAATCATACCTCTGTGGAAATAAGACTGAAAAATAAAAGAGGCATAGAAGCGTTTATCTACTGAGGCCAAACCAGGTCTGGACAAGTGTGTGACAGTGAGGAGTCTGATCGTGGCAAATAAAAGTTTGGTTTACAGGTCATTCAAACTCTTCCTTTCTCCTATGAATCATAGATGTTCAATATACAGATCATGGTTGCTCTTACAACTCTGTGTCCAAATTCAACATTAAAGATGCTGCAGTTTCTTTTTGACACGTCTCACATCTGCTTCTACTACTCTGAATTTTCAGTAGCTCAACTTCCTGCACTTTAATTTTGGTGTGAAGGTTAAGCTCCCCTTTGAGCGCTGGCTAGAGATCAGCATTGATATTCCCTTAATGAAATTAGATGAAACTGCTGTAAAAAGACCTTTTTACAGTCACAACATAAAAAGTCTAGAGCTAACTTCACCACACTTTGATGTATCTTTGCAAATACTGTCGCCAAACTTTGTCCACAAGAACAAAAGCAAGTCGGAGGCTACGAACAGAGCCCACCATAATGGGCTGAAACTCTGAACGTGTCATGTTTCCTGCATGGTTTCATGTTATATAGCAATCCATATATAGACACAAACATACAACATTAATGTGTCCAAACTTGTGCCATGATTCTCATTTTACAGATGTGGGGCTAAACAGTGGGTTAAAGATGAATGATAAAATAAAATCACATCTTTAGATGAAGGAATCACAAAAAAATTGTAATTCTTATTTAATAGAACTGCCTTTAGAATAGAAATGAAAGTCTCCCTCTTGTATTGCATAATTTCTTCCCTTACATGAATAATTTGTAACCTCAAAGTCAAATAAAGCACACGTGGAGGAAAAGGGCCTTTTTTCTTAAATATCAGATCATGACGCATACATTCATTTTGTGCTTTTGCATTATTTAAGCATGAGGCCCCAGATCTCCAGTCAGTCAGCGGATAAGAGCCGCCTCTCCTCCTCCTCTTCTCTCTAATTTTACTTACGATGTGTCCAGGCAAACCCGGGTTCCCCGGTATCCCGTCGTTTCCCGGGATACCCTGAAAGAAGGAACTGAGGTTGAACTTCTTTGCTGCCAATCGAGGGCTAGCCACTCCCATCTCCACCGAGGCTCGAGGCAGAGTCAAAAATTCAGGGTAGAAATGGTAAAGGCCATTTCTGTCTCGGTTAAATTTTTTAATATCTGATTGTATTTAGAAATCTGAATTTAAAATAGCATTTACTGACCATTACAAATGCCCCCTTTGTCAAAGACATGACCTCTGCCATTCAGTTACCATCACCACATCTAATCCCTGACTCCAACCGTTGACTCCTGCAGCACAGCAGCACTTTATTTGAAGGTCTGTTTTAATCTCAAACTTTTTGAATTCATCTTAATTAATTAATTAGTTAATATTCCGGATAAGTATCGCATCTTTTTTGTTAACTTTTTTAAATTTAAAAACAGACCTCCAAATAGTGGTTCATGTCCTGACAGACATTCCCAAAGCTCGCTCAGTCGCCACCCACATGGGTTAAAGCTTGAAGCTCTGTATTAGTTATTAGTGCATTTTTCATTTCATCCTAATTATCTTTGTCTATTTTAAACCCAGTTACTGCACAGATACTACAAATATATAATGTCACTGCATTTCCGACATGCATAACACGGACCCCTAAAGATGCAAAGCATGTCACAGCCTTATTCATGTACCGCAAATACCCCCAAGCTAAAAAGCCTGTATTATAATCAGCTTGTTCAATTCAGGCTGTTGGAGAAGCTGCTGAATTGAACATCCACATTTCCCTTTCTGTTACCTCGGGTCCTTGGATTCCAATAACACCCTGAGGCCCAGGAGGGCCAGGGGGGCCGGGTGGTCCTGGTGGACCCTGAAACAACACAGTGGCATCAGAAAATTCACAGTCAAACGAAAAGAGTTGTCGTATTTTTTAACAAACAAGGTGGGAAGCACAGCCAAGAGTTATCAGACAGGACTGCTGGTTGACGGATCAGACCTGAGGCCCGGGCTGCCACATGTTTACTGCAGTTCCTGGAGCTCCCTGGAAGGCAGAGGTAGTCAAAATCAGAGCTGCACAGATGCTCACACAAAAACAGGATTTATAGAAAGTGATTTAAATAAACGAATGTCTACATGCGTCTTTTTTCCCAGTGTGTCTGGGTGCAAGTGCTCACTCACAGGTCCGCCGATCCCTGTGTGCACCGGCAGTATGCAGTTGCACTCTCCAGGTTGACCCTGAAATATACATCAAAGAAGAGACACATGAAAAAAGAAATCTGAAGCGAAACTCAAAGGCTGCAAACCCGAGTCCTCATCCAACATTAAAAGGACTCCTGTTGCTGAGAGACAGAAATCTGAGCTTTCAGCACTATTTTTGTTCAGTTTTACTAAATCCTGAAAATCTTATCCGACAAAGAGACAGTCATGACGGCGGGGGGGTGGAATGATGTGGATATTTTATGCCACTTTGTGTAACATTACATGAAATGGTTCCTAAAGCCGCATTATAGAGCGAGAAATCCAATACATTTAAGGTACTAGAATGCAAAAAGGTGTAATTCACATAAACTCTGTGACAAGAGGAGCCCATGTAATATGCCGTTACCGACCTGCTCTCACTACTTTCCTCCGTCATCCAAGCCAGGTTTTTACAGTATAATGTAGAACCTGAACATGAGTGCACCCTGAAAAGGCAATAAATGTTGCCTTTTTTGCTCTAACTCTCTTTGTCTTCCTTCCTTAAGTTTTTCCTCTATCTTAACTTTTTTTTTTTTTTGGTATGTCCCACATCCCCCTCACACTCTGCCTCCACCACTTCCTCATATTTCCCACCCTCTCAGTGACAGTCTGGGGTGATAGCTCTGATGAATGCGGTAATTAATAGTCTCGCACACACTCTCTCTTAAGGCCCCCGAAACTCCTCTAGCCTGCCAGCAACAGTACACTTGTCACCTCTGTTGCTACTCTATCCATGCCGCGAGGCCGGTGTGTGCATCTGTGTGCCAGCACTGGCGTGTGTGTGTGCGACTGAGGCAAAGGGGAAGGAGGTGGGGTCCGTTGAACCATCTCTTGTGATTACCATCTGTTCCACCCCCCCCTTATATGCAAAACTTTCCAGATCCCTTCCTCCAAACAAAACGGTAGACTTACCTTGTCCCCCATAGCTCCATCAAGTCCCTGCAAGAGAAGGAGACAGCACAAATGAACACAAACACACACACGCACACAAACACCTAGTTACTCTTGCTTTGTTGTTCCAGGAGAAAGCCCTGAGTGTAGATCAGGGGACAGGGGATGAGATGGGAGCAGACATTGCCTCTGTTATGGATCGAGGCAGACATCCTCGGTTACAAATGATGCCTAAATCAAGGACAATTCCCAAAGAAGCTAAAAAGAAAATTAGAAAAGTTTGCTTCCAAAATTCTCTAACCTGTCCTCTAAACCACTGATGCACATGTACCCACGCAAATAAAACACACGCTTTATAAAATAAAGGAACTCGACAACTCACGGGTCTGCCGTCGGCTCCTGGCAATCCTTGAGAGCCAGGGGCTCCATCTTTACCCTGTGGGTCAAAAAGTAAATAAACAATGTTTGACAATATGAAAGTATGACATTTTGTTTACATGCAAAAAGATGCATTTATGTCTTACTGGGGGCCCTGCTACTCCAACGCCCACAGGCCCCTGTGGTCCAGGAAGCCCGACATCTCCTCGAGATCCCTTTGAGCAGGAAACTGTGTTAGTTTCACTGGGTTCATTTATTTGCATATAAAAGTGATAATTAGATGTTTTCACCGCTCTATTTTATGCCACCTTTTCTCCTTCAGGACCAACAGGGCCGGTCAATCCTCTGGCTCCAGTTAGTCCCTGCGCAGAGCACACATTTAAACCAAATTTGAAATAGATGTAGGTAGAGCCGAATTGTACGACTTTTTACTTATGAGTGGAACTTACAACAACCCCTGGCAGCCCTCTCGGTCCCTCTTCACCCTTTGACATGAATGTAATGGACAAGACAAAAAGCAGGTTTGGATGGGTAAGGAAACAAAGAGTCCGCAGTGAGTATGTTTAATAGCTTTCCCATGTTTGAAGAAACCATTTTGAATCAAAGGGTTTGAGGGAGAATTAGTTCAGGATGGTTGTTTTATTTACAACCCTGTGACTTCACTGTTTGATCTGCGAGGCAGGAAAACTTTAAACAGTGATATAACAGGAGAATGTGTTTTTCATTAGTGAGATCACAGCTGGACAGCCTCCTCCTAAAAGCTTTGTGTCCTAATTGAATGACAGAGCTGCATCCGTTGTCAGCATTTATCATCTTTATTGATCCACATGTGTTTTTTAAAGACTTGTCAGCCTTACTTGAGGTCCTGGAAGGCCGGCCCCCGCAGCTCCAGTTTCTCCCTACAGGGGGCACACGGCCACATGGATTAGATTGTGTGTGCCTCACGTGAACAGGCACGATCCTCATGTATTTATAAACACGATAACACAATAAATGGACATTCGTACCTGTCTTCCCCTGGGACCGGCGGGCCCCTGCACACCTGGCAAGCCTGGTTTTCCCTGGAAAGAAAAACATGCGACACAATCATCAGCAGTTCTCAAAGTACAGAGTGCCAAAAAGTAAATAAATAATTGAAAACTAAAGTCCCTCACATTCCTGCCAGGCTTCCCTTCTCCTGGAGCACCAGGGTCTCCTCTCTCTCCTTTTGGGCCTGGCACGGTGACACCTTCACCCACTGCTGTGCCCAGAGAGGGACAGCTGGTACAAGCATCACCCTGGCAAAATAAAACACATTTTCTAGCAATCAAAGTCCCATAAAGCCAATCAATGTCCATCTTTAACCACTGGAAACCATCATTGGTCCACAATAGTGACCACTGGCATCACCTGTAATTAGGCATCTCCCAGTACATTCACCCAACTAGATTTCGATCACATATGGTCTGTGGAAAGTGACTGCACATGCAGCTAACAGGGTTACTACTTTTTATCCTGCCAGTAATTACATTTAACCAGAGGGGACATGTAAAGTACAGCAAAGTTGAACTGAATTAGTTCTGGGCACTCTTGTACCTTTTCTCCCTTTAAGCCCATTAATCCATCCCGACCAGGCTCTCCAGGCAGTCCTGGGGCTCCAGAAGTTCCATCCAATCCCTTATCTCCTTGATGTCCTTGTTCACCCTGGTAAAATTGAAATACAGTGAAAATGGGCGAGATGATTCCTAAAAGTGTTAAGAATAAAAATGCCTGATCGTATTTCTGTACTAATAACACTACAGAGCAATGTTTTTATTTTTCATTGTGCACCCATGCAAGAACGTGGGCGATACAATATCAAATCCTGCTGTTGGTTTCACAATGTTCCACTTACTGACAGTAGGTGGTGGTACGAAATGTACCAATAAAGAAGAAGGCTACTAGTCAGCCAACATGGATGTGAATAATAATACAACAAACAGTACATCAAATTGGTTTGTCTGTTAATCCAGAAACAACAGCCTGTTTGATAGCCAATGGCACTGGGCTTATTTGTTCTATGTTTACATAAATAAATGTAAAACTATAAGATGCGTTTAATTAGATGTGACTAAAATATCAGGATAATTACATCAGCTCCATTAATCCACTAACTTTTAACTTCACTTTGAGTCCAAGCATGAAGATCATTTCAGTGGAAAAGCCTCTTTGAGGAGCCTTGACTCCGTTAGTGGCAAGTTATTCCTTTTTTGCTAATGATGTTGCAAACATCCAAATAAACAAACACTTGGTAACCTAAAACAAAGCAGAGTGCCCGAACATTTAAAACCATGATGGAAACATTTCCTGTGGACATCCTTGCTCCCAGTAGATGTCAAATTAGTAAAGGAAGTCTGACTGTCTCTTAAGGCCACCAGTGACTCCAAATTCCTCCAGGTTACACAGTGTTGTTATGCAAGGTCGAGACTGGAAAAGACAGGAAATTACCTTTTCTCCTTTTACACCGGAAAGACCTGGCAGGCCCTGTGTAAGGAAGAAAGTAAAGGGTGTTTTACAAATACAAGCAGTAACATGCACATCAGTACGTTCACACACACACCACCACCACCCTAATATATGTGCAGTCATGCGCAAGTTATACTGTGCAAGCCTCTTTCCATTCAGGTAAAATAACTATTGACTTAAAGCTAACCACAGAGGCATGCAGTAGGTAATTGGGAGGGGAGACAGAACCCAACAGAGATTTATTCCACTTAGAAACAATTCTGCGGTGAGAGGAGAATCCCTGTGTATCCTATTTTGTACAATGAGCTTATCAGCTGATACTCCCTCTGGGTGACATCTTTAAACATCTCAAACTTTTCACTCAGATGCAGATAGAGCTTAATCACGTTCACTGTGGCAACAAAGCGGGATTGTTGGTTTTGTAGAATTTTTATAATGACATTTCTAATTCTACTAAGTACAGATAAATCAGTAATGGATTTAATGGTGAATAAAGCAAAGATCTTTAATTGTTCTTGGTTGTCAGCTTAAACAAGGATCCATGGTAATTCGGTCAGGTTGCATTGTCTCATTCAGCTTTTATAGAGCAAATGAACAGTGATGAGTATTACAATGTGTAAAAGCACAATAACATATTAAGTTGTGAGATAACTTAAAGCACAATGAAACAAATGGTGGCAACATATACAGCAGTCAATTTAAACACTTTCCAATAATATAATACACTTAACCCTAACACTAAACACAGAGAGATCAGTGAAAGAACCTAAATAAAATGGTTTTTTTTTAGTTTTTTAAAAATTATTTTAAGGAACAGGGATATCAATTAGGGGCAACATGGCGCCCTCTAAAGGAAGCACCAAGAAAGTCTTGAGAGGCCCTGACCAATCCTCCCTTGGAACTTATACTGTGTGTCTACTGGTTTGAAGTCTAAAACGAGGAGTAATTTTATACCATAAAAAAATGCTAGGTCTTTATTTAAAAAAGCTGCCTGTGTCCTTTTAAATGTAGCTTCTTATTCATATTCTTGTGATGACTATCTTTCTCCTGCACAGACATCACACCTGTTTGCCATCAGCTCCGAGACCTGGAGGTCCAGGTTGCCCTTGAGGGCCCGGTTCGCCTGGCTTGCCTCTTGTTCCCTCAGGCATTTTGATGCTGGCAGGCCCGCTGCCAACCTCGGATGGTTGGCACACGCCGCACTCGCCCTAGGAAACGGCAGGGAGTCAGGCAGGTTAGTTTGTATGATGATCAAGCTGAGGGAAGCATACGGAGCAATCCATATGTCTGTGCTTACCTTCTCACCCTTTAGGCCGGGCGTACCAATACCTGGCAGCCCTTGCCCTCCCTGTGAAAAGATTAATATAATATTACTATTAAGCAAAAATAAAGTATCAAATAATGGTTTCATTGATTATGCACAAATAGGTGTTTTTCTGACTAACACAAAACTGCATCACAAACTTTAAGCAGCAAAAATCTTTAAAATCCCATACTGTCCTGCGGTTGTATTCCTCTGCCAACCAGAGCAGTTTCATACACACACTTTTTAGCCATATATGATCACTGTGAGGTCTGAACAATGAAAACCAATCAGTTATTCTTTGAATCCAAGTGAAAAAGTTAAGATTTCACTTAAGATAACATGTTTCGCTACCGTGACAATGTTATATCACGTTCACAACAACATGAGGTCATTGTGACCTTGACCTTTGACCTTGAACCACCAAAATTGAACCAGTTAAACCGTGAGTTGAAGTGACCACTTGTTCCAAATTTGAAAGGATTCTCTAGAAGAGTTCATAAGGTAACAAATTCAGAAGGGAAACCAATTTTGTGGGGTAACCTTTGACCACCAAATTCTAATAAGGACATCATTTAGTCAAAGTGAATGTTTGAGTCGGATGAGTCTTCCTGATAAATTACATTCACAAGAAAATTATGTGACTTTTATCCACCATAATGGAATCAGTTCATCCCCATCTCAGAGTTATGTTTGTTTTTTATTTACCAAATTTGAATAAATTCCCTCTAGGTGTTCTTGAGATATGTTCACAAGAATGGAACAGACCAACAGATGCACAACCCAAAAACACATTGTGTGCTGCCAATGGCTACCGCCGTCACAGAGGCATAAAATCAGAACAACTTTTGGAGTAACATTGAGGAGCAAGACTTAAATCCAGCTATCAAGACTGCAACCTTCCACTCCACACTCAAAGTTTGTTATCACACTCTCTGTGCTCTCCTCCTACCTTTGAGCCTTTCTGTCCATCCTTGCCACTGGGTCCCTTTGGTCCGAGCTTTCCCTGTCATACACACACACATTTCATTTCACAACATCACAGAGCCAGGATGTGAAGCGATACATTCTGTTCCAAAGAACTGAAACTGAACTTACCGGCTTACCATCCCCTCCTTTGCTGCCTGCACTTCCCTGCAGACAAGTAGAAAGAGCTTTTCAGTATCTGAACTTCACAAATTGATAAAAGGAATAAAAAAAGGATGTGACTTTTAAATTGGTAATTCACATTTCATAGTAAGCTGCACCCCACAGGCTGCCATGTCAAATGATTTGAGTTTTTTCAGTACCTAAGCTTCCTCACTAATAAGTTTCCCTGCTGGGTAAAATCCCTATGGCAGGCAGTTTTGGGCCCTAAAATTAGCGCACTGCTGTGATTATCTCCCTCATGAAGTGTATTAAGAACCCTTCAGAAACTTACTGAGCGAGTTCCCCTCATGTAAGCCTAGTCTGTTATTGAGGTCACCTACTCTCAGTCCTGTTTCTTTTTATGTTACTTACCTTTTCTCCACTAAGGCCAGGTGGTCCTTCCTTTCCTGGCTCCCCCTGCGGAGCAGAAAAAAGTGGATGATATATTGCCCTAATGAAGCTGCTCATCACAGCTCAAACATGCGAGCACAGCGACAAACAAAATCAGAAATAGACAAAGTCAAACAGTCATCAGTTTTCCTTTCTACCATGTGTGTCATTGCTTCGTTTCAGCAAGACCAAAGTCCTCCAACGACTAGAATCACCCTGTGGTTGTGTGCCTCTGCCAACCAGTCCAGTTTCAGTCATCATATATATGTTTTTCCAGATTCATATGAGGTCACTGTGACCTTTGACCTCTGAAATCTAATCAGTAAACCTGAAACAATTGAAGAAATTCCCTAAAAGCAGACTTGAGATATCATGTTCAAGAGGCATAATCGCTATTTTGACCTTTGACCACATGAATCAGTTAATCCGTGAGTCTAATTGAACATTTGTGCCAAAATCAAATGTATTATCTAGAGGTGTTCCTAAGATAACGCATTCTCAAGGCAAATAAGGCTTTTGTGAGGTTACAGTGACCTTGAACTTCATCATTAAATCTTAACATAACAAGATCCTTTGACAACCAAATTCTAATCAAGAGGCACAATAGGAGGAAGTTAGTGTTTTTCACCTTGGTTGTGTTTATCTCCCAATGCTCAGATTTTTAATACAGCACTAGATTCACATCAACTTCCAAATTGATGATACTAACTTGCTCTCCTTTCTGTCCAATCCCAGGCTCTCCCCTCTCTCCCTTCTGTTGCAGGATTTGGGTCATGACACCGGGCAAGAGGTTAGCGGGTAACTCTCCGAGAGTGGGGCACACAGAACATGCCTCTCCCTAAAGCACAGGCACGGATTAGAGAGGGGTTAAAGATCACGTTAAAATTTGAATTCATATCAGCAAATGTGTAAATGAGGTGTCATTAACCATGACATGTTCTGATGCTTTAAAACTGCTGTTACTGAATTAAATGAGCAGTTCTGGAAAGAAACAATGCACAGTTAACCTGATTAGCCGAGTCTGTTTTACTGGCAGGAAGATAAGGCAGACTAAACAAGAAATAGTTTGAATCTAAACTGACCTTTTCTCCCTTGGTTCCATCTGATCCTGGTTCTCCCTGCCAAAACATACACACACACACAAATTCAGGAGAGCAAATTTGAGGAATTTAATACAAGAATTAAGAACAAAGTCGTAATTTCGGTTAGATCTGCGAGCCATTCAAAGGAGTTTTAATAGATTCACAATCAGATTGGTTCCAGATTTTGGATCAGGTGTGGAGCATATGTTCTCCTTGTTGCTTATTTCCATTTCTTTTTATTCTCATAATATTACTTTATTCTTGGAATATTACAACTTTAATTTAAAAAAAGGTCTGACTTATTTTTCTTCAACATGGCCCTGATGTTCCATCGCATGATTGCATTCATAAAAGAAAAGAAAAGTTATATATTAAGCATATGTAGGTGTATATTAGCAAAGTGTAAGGTAGGTGTGTGTCTTGTGGGGTTTAGTTCAGACAGTTTCCTTGCATCTGCTTTAGGGCTGAGCCTTCTGCACATCTGAATGTGTGGGAATGTGTGGGAATGCAGATGAGTGTGTATAGGTCACACTGCAGAACATGAATGAACCGCACGCTGTAAACGAATGAAGGGGAACTCTATACCTTGTGTCCTGCTTTGCCATCTGCACCTTGAGGCCCCTGGTAAACGCAGAGAGAGAGAAAAGAGAGGAGAAGAGCTTTGATGAGCCAGAGGTAAGAGTGTTGTTAGTTCAGCTTTGTTAGAGTGAGGTCGTATCTCACTCCCTCTCTCTGTTGCTCTGCCTTCTTCTCCTTCTGCTATAACCAGGTATGACAGATGGATGCTGGCACTATTGGAAATCGTTGCACAGAGAATCTCATAAGGCTCCAGATTTATATTCCTTTTTACCCGATAAATAATTCCCCATTCACCTGCTGGGGTAAGTGGGGGGATGTAGAATGAAGAGAAGGAGAAGGACAATGCACAGTATGTTGAAGTTCGACTCACCGGGGAAAGAAAAAGACATGTTAAGATTACTGTACAAATAAATGACCTTTTGCCCGGGAGAATAAAGATTTTGACGGCATATCACGCTTTCTCTTCTTTAGCTGCTGCAACACTGAGAACTGCAAGGGCAAAATCTATCTCCAAGGAAGAAATAACATCATACCCTCCCTCAAAATGATAAGAAAATATAAAATATATACAGTATTAAAAAAAAGGTTCAATCGTCAGCTACAGAACGTGTCTACAACCCCCCTAATAAAACATGGAGTAAGATCATAAAATCTAAAATTCAGGAGAGGCTGAGAATACATTACAGTGTGACTTTGGTTTCAAACTGTTGCACTTACAGACAGTCCTCTCTCTCCGATCCCTGGTGATCCGGGCTCTCCCTTAGGACCGGGCTTCCCTGGCAGCGCCACTGTGTTGCCCATGTCTGCAGGCAGCACCGGGCACACTTCACATGGGTCACCCTGAAGATTTGAACACACGGTATGTCGATGAGACAGCACACAGACATGGGGAGAACGAATTTGAAGACGGATGTCTATGGGGGGGATTGTACCTTCTCTCCCTTGGACCCCCCTGGTCCTCTCGGTCCCTATGACAACAGAATCCCAGTCAAACACTGATGCAGCAGCACATTGTTAGATCACTGTCTATTGGAGGCTCCTGCATACATTAGTGAATATGAATCAGAAAGTAAAAAGAGTCTCTCACTGGATCTCCTGGCCCTCCATCTTGTCCTGAAGCTCCTGTGTCTCCCTGTTAACACAAATCACTGAGTGAGTCATAAGAATACAATTAAAGTTACCCTAAAGTTACATCCTCATAAAAGCATCTCTGTTATATTTCATCTTTGTCATTTTGGTTTTGCTGGCCTCAGGAGGGTAAGAACTTCTGAATCCACAGAGGACCATACAAATCCTCAACTAAAGTAAACAAAATAAGAATAAATAAATAAATAAAAATTGAGTTATGATGTTAATATGCTTGGCTACATTAGCAGTACACTCACAGCCATATTCGTGAATGCACTGTAAATTAAATGGATAAAAAATTAGATAGAAGTGGATCAAATATCACAGTTAATAATAATGTATAATGGACTCAAGTTTGTACTTAACATTAGCACTTGGAATAGCAAAAGCTGAACAACTAGCTGAATACCAGTATTTCAACTGTTTTAAAAACACATCTATTTAAGGTTCTCTGCTCACATGCTAACAAAACTTTAAAGATGGACGTCTTCACTTCCTATACAGAATTGGCACAGTAGCGAAATCAGCTGTCAGTATCAGCTGTCGATCATGACATGATAAAAAAAATGACAAATTAAAAATAAAATTATCTTATAAGAAGCATCTTGAGTGACGAACCTTGACCTTATTTGACCTGTACTTTGAATTTTTTATTAGGTCATGTCCAATCCACTCAAGTAAAGGAGGCAGGATTAATGACCAATACTGCAGCCAGCCACCAGGTGGTATTGAAGATGCTTTGGCCTCACTTTTGGGTTAGCAGTCATGTCGTCCATCTTTACATACGGTCTATGATTGCAACACAGTTTTGATGTTTTTAAGTACACTCAGGTTAAAAGGCACCTCACTGGTTAGCTCAGCATTTTATACAAAGTGAAGATCAATATCATATATTTGTTTTCTTCAATGTTTCGATCAATTAATCTTATTGCTTATTGCTTTTATTGATTTCTTGAGTTAATTCCATTTACCTCCCTGCCAAACACACAATTAACCCCTGGTGTACAAAACCACCTGTTTGTTTTAAATCTTGATTTCTTTCACATTCCAGAAAATGGGTCAAACCCACCTTGTCTCCTTTTGCGCCGCCCGGTTCACCAGGAAGACCCTGACAGGGGAAGAAAGAGGGACATAAATCTTTTTAAATGCCTTTCTGGAGATGCTTTTAGGCTTCTGTGAAGGGCAGTGAAAGCTGCTACAGAAGAAGAAGGAGGCCTGCCAAGTCCTGCCCTGCACTTCTAAGAGTATTGTCAAATAAAACTGCTTTTTTGTTCAATCTAAGACCATCTCCATGAGGAGGACATTAAGGTAATCAGTGGAATGACACCATGCAGTAAGTGCATATTGGCTTCGTTTTTTCTTCCAGACCTCTTTAATTAAAAAAAGCATACTCACTGGTGGGCCTGGCATTCCAAATCCTGGTAGGCCTGGGCGTCCAGGCTTCCCTGGCTCCCCTGCCAACCCTTCAGGGCCCACCATACCTGGGGTTCCCTGAAAAACATGTTAAAAACATCTCTATTAAACTGAGCTCAATGTATGTGACAGACAGGTTGATGGAGGAAACTCAGACTTAATGCATGCAGACCTTCTGTCCCTTGGGGCCGATTACACAGATGGACCCTGCTCGACCCTGGGAAATTGTGACAGACAGACAGGCAAGTGACAGTATCAGTTTGGGTCTTTGACATCATCAGCGTCAGACAAGAATAATCAAACGAGCTGTTCAGAAATCATCAAAACATCTTCTTGTCAGAGACACTTGTTTGATTTTTCTCATTTGTTGAAAAAGAAAGAGGGAGAATAGCGGAGTCTGTAGGATGTTTTATCTCCAGCCATGCATATGCAATATTTCCCGCCTGCCCAATTCAAGTCACATCAACAAGCGCATTCATATTCACAATGTCAGACGGATGGGAGGCTTAAGAAAATCTATCCTCCGCCAAATCCATCTGTCCACGACAAACATTTAGCCTGGCGAACAATTAAAATGTGAGAGCGTCTGATGCCGAGAGAAAAAAAACTGGAATATCTCAGAGCACACACGCGTTGTAATTTGTGCCTCTATACTTTTCATGCGTCTACAGGATCACTGCGCTGAACAGGGAAGATTAAAAGGTTTAAGTCTTCCTGAATAGGCGCCTGCCTGCATGAGAGACGCAGAGCACAGTCAATGAGGCAGCATTGATTGTGCAAGCTTTGTTGCTCTAGCCTAATCTAACAGGCATTAAGAGGCTGACATAACGCTATGGGAGGGAGGAGGGGAGTCCGAGCTTAAACAGTAATGCTGTATAAGTTTACTAGATATCCACTCTTCGTCTGATAAAGCTGTGGGTAAGTGGATGCATGTGTTTGTGAGTCCGTTCTCACAGTGAAACTATTTGTTCTGAGCTAACATGGTTGATGCAAAATATGCCTGAAATGCTCTTCCACTCATTCTAATAACAGGAACTCGGAGTAAAAGAGAGCAAAAGCCAAAAAAAGTAAAGATAAAAAAACATACGTCCTTCCCTGGAGTTCCTGTGAGACCTTGTAGACCGATCTCTCCCTTCTGGCCCTTGGCTCCCTGGGCAGAGCCAAAGGAAAACAAAACAGAGAGAGACAAAGAGGGGTGAAATAATGTAGAGTTAGAAATTAATTACACACGATCATTACAAGGTCATATCTTCATTGTTCATCACCAAAAGTTGCTTAAACCTTTCACCTTGTACCCAACAGCTTCGCCCCAGTTAGCGGGCGCCGCCTGAGGAGAGAGAGAACGGAGACGAGATCCAGATCAGTAACTTGGTTCAAAAGAGACATTGCACACACACTAGTGGAGCATGGAACACAACACAGTGATCAGGCAGCAACCCGTATGGACTACCCCTATGCTCCACTTCTAAACAAACACAGGCATGGGTTAGTATCATGCATGCAAAAATCAGTGGTACATTCAAATGCAAATACCGTGGTGGCCAATATGTCTCACACAAGCACAAAAGCCACAACACAACCACCAAAGTCACACAACAGAAACACAATCCCAACGGAAGTGAGACAACAGATGTTGACATTGAAACAACAGATTTATATTGTGGTACAACGTTAATTATCAACATCCTTGGACGCTCACTTCCATTGTGCTTGTGTTTCTGTTATGTGGCCTTTGTGGTTGAGTTGTGGCTTTTGCATTGGGGGTTGTGGCTTCTGCAGTCGTGTTGGGGCTTTAAGCCGTTGAGTTGTGGTTTTTGCATTTGTGATGTGGCTTTTGAGTTCTGTTTTCGGTTAATGTGCTTGTGTGAGATGTCTCGATCACTGTAAAATACTCTGTGTGAGTCAGATGCATTAAGCTCAAACTTGTCACTGGTCATGCAGACACACAATAACTCACTGTAAAATAAGATAAAAAGGACATACTCATCCTCATTGCATTAATATTGAGAGTGGATGGTTATAAATTGAGTTTTGAAAAGAGATCAAATTTAATAGCTGAAGCGTTAGCAGGGTTGCGATGCTGTGGCACTCACCGAATCGCCTTTGTCTCCCTTCTGGCCCTTGGATCCCTCTGTGCACTGAGGTTAGAGACACTCGGTTGGCATGTATCATCACAGACCACTTTTTGGCAATAAAAAAATTCAAGCCTCACACTGCTGCGCATGCCAAACAAGGAGACAATGCTTTTCTGTAGAACGAGGCATGGTACGAGAATGAGACGCAATGGAAAAGTTACTTACTGGACCTGAATGAGTGCCAGCACAGTCATCACCCTAAGATGGAGGGAGGCAGAGGAGAAGAATGATTGGTTGTGGGTGACGGACAGAATAAGTGGGTTCTGAAGAATGCACATCAGCAAGGCGGTGGATTGGTCCACAGCCAGCATCGCTCTGTATTAGAATACAGCCGCATCATTTTATATTTGTGTGTGCGTGTGTGTGTGTGTGTGTGTGTGTGTGTGTACTGCTAGGAATTACTATTCAGTGCTAGGCATGTCTGGGCAAATATGGTGACATCTCACATTCCACTGATATTAGCCTTACTACACACACACACACACACACACACACAGACACAGACACAGACACACATTTGAGATTTGAGCATCTGCACAGTAAATACTCACCCGGTCACCTTTTTCCCCTTTAAACCCGGCGGCCGCACCTGAATTTCCTACCTGCAACACACACAGGTCAAACACAGTTACACACTCCGCAGTATCATAGTCTCATCATGTTTAAATGTAGAGAAGTGAGAGTAAAGATCAGTGATCCTTACATTTGCTTCCCTATTCAGGAGTAAACAACCAGCACACTACAGACAGACACAGAGAAAGAGACAATCATTACGATTGTGATCAATATTCAATGAAGAGGTTGTGTGTTTTAATAAAAGGACGTTTTATTTAGTAAACGTCTTGTTGTTTCTGTAGTCACCAGATGGTGGCACTGTTACACAAAACTACACTGAGCATCCTTCCCTGTGCTGCTACAGTATGCAGTTAAAAAAGGATGAAAAGGTGGGTAGGTGGGCATGCACGCACACGCACACACACACACGCACTGACACATGCACACGTTTCCCATGGGAGATGGATATCAATAGGAATGTCTGATTCCCACAGCACAGGAGTGAGCAGACCAGCTGCTCCTCACAGGAGGGCGCACACACACACACACACACACACACACAGGCACACACACACAAAGGCATGCATACGCACGCACACACACACACACACACACACCAAATAAGGACAACCATTATAAATAACTGAAGCATTTTTAGAGGAAGCGGGTAATTAAATCTGAAATCCCCCCACCCGGTGTTTCTGGGAGCGTTGCTTTCACACACCAGGAAGTATGCATACATTGAAGCTACAACTATGAACTTGCTGAGACGACGACAAAGGGCCAGTAACAGTGCAGATATGATGTGTAACACCCCCCCCCCTCATACATGCTACAAATCTATCAGTGGCTGGCTCGAGCTGCAATGATGAGTCACTGTTTCCAAGCTCGTCTCTGACCGGAGGCTTAGTCGAGTCCTCATATAGTTCCAGTTAAAACCTCAGCGGCCTTGTCATTGTTTTGCCTCTTCTACAGATTGTTGGAAAGCAGAAGAGTATCTCCCTATTTATATAGTTCTTGTCTTGTTGTGCAATCATACACCATGTTAGGTTTGGTACTTTTTGGTACTAGTTGGGCGGCTGTGGCTCAGGAGATAGAGCGTCTGTCCTCTGACCAGAGGGTCAGTGGTTCACAGCCGATCCCTATTTCATATACTGATGCAAAAAAATTGCCTGTGAAGTGCTTCGAGTAGTCATAAAGACGAGAAGAGTGTTATATAAACAGAGATATATACTTTGTTTTGCAGAGTTAACATCATATTGGCCATTGCTAACTTATGAGTGAGTGAATTATTTCTTAAAAATGGAATCTCTTTGTAAATATATTAAATCCTTATATTATATATGGCATGGCAGAACATCGCAGAGACTCTAGAGAGCAAAAATAGTGAGGTTCATTTTAAGGTTTTGTCAATTTCATAAAAATATATTTTTTTAGCATATTAATTTCTTATTTTTCAGCCACTTGGGGGCAGCGTAACAGCGCAACAAACATTTGAGAAACAACCAGGAGAGAAGACTTTACTTTCATTATATACTTTTATTTTACTCAGATCCGTCTGTTTGTTTTGTATTGAATTACTGTAAAGGAAAAAGTAAATATCGTCTTCTACTTCCTCCTCCTCTTATTCTTCTTTTTGTGTTTGATATTGTCATTATTATTAGTATTAGTAGTAGTATTAGTAGTACTAGCAGTAGTAGTAGAAGTAGTAGTAGTAATAATAGCAAACAGTACTAATTGTAGTAGTAGAGGTAGGAGTAGAAACAGTAGTAGCCGTGGTGTAGTGTTTACCAGCTAGTTCCTAGATGTTTAAACACTATGCAGACAGACAAATGTTTTGCTGACAGCTTCCCCTACGTTCACCACTACAAGTCGTATACAGTGTTTGACAATACAAATATAAAGGTATCCTTTTTCATGATTAGTTTCCCAGTAAACAGTTGAAATGTTGGCACAAGTATCCTCATTGGTCGTGTCACATTTAAGCATTCAGCATCCAAATGCTGTAAATAGGCTCAATATTCTAAAATCCAGCATTTCAATACACAGATACTCAGTCTTCGTTATGCATGCCAACGCTGTTGCTCATTTATTAGCTTAAGCATCTCAAAACACTAAACAAGATCAAGGCTGAATTTATGGCGCCAACATCCTGTCAGTGAGGGAATGCTTTTTTTGGTATTTAAACATCCCAGTGGGCTCAAGTTTTGGCATTGTCTCTCTGTCTGCCAGATCTCGACACAACAAGGGCAAGGCCCAGCACATAACTAATGAAAATCTAACGCTGGCGTAAACATAAATTCACAATCCTCCTGGGTGGTAATCCTCAAAATCAATGTAGAGCTGTTGCCACTTTCTCAAATGCGGGATAACTTTCTGTGATCTAACAGAAGAGACAGAAAGTATAGACTCTGGGACTTTATATTTGGATGAGCCTCTTCTGTTAATAGATTCCTGCTGATTGGTGGAGCTGAGCCTTTTGACTCGCATTACCAAGAGGCCAGTGATGAAGCAGGAAAAAGCCATAAAGGAATAGCTGAAGCGGCATGACATGAACACTGTGATGAATACTGATATCTGACTGAGCTTTAGAAAGGTGCGGCAGAAACCACATTTACCCGTTATCCAGATCATTTATTACCATAGTAATATTAATAAATAGGCCTGCCTGGTGTGATTGTCAGCGTTGGAATTGCAATGCATAATATCATGATATCAGGTTGTATTATCACTGGATTCCCAAGGGTGCCATGCCGATTTTTTAACCTGAAAGGACGGCCGCCTGTGTAATTTGACCAAATTAAATTCACAGCACAGAAGAAAAGTCACTTTTTAGTTCTTTGTGCCCCCAGTGGCGGGGTAAGCAGAGCGCTCAACCCAGGTAATAACCTACATTGAGGAAGTCAGGGGACAAGGCCAGCTGCATTAGTAAGCACACACAGGAGCAACATAATGAAGCGTCTGGAGTTTTGTATTCTATTTGTGAACAGAGCATGCCTATTGTAGGTGAATGACAAAATTAATAGGCAACAGCAACACCCGACTGAGACTCGATGCATAATGAGGTGTAAATCAGCCCTCAGTCAGTCAGCAGGCTGGGTATGTGTGAGGGAGGGAGGAGGAAATAGAGATAAGCTATTTCTTTTTCTCACCCCATGCACAACATGAATAAACAAAATGTAAAGACTCACACACATGCACACACTAGGCCTGTCTTCCTATTTGAATCTTCAAAGTCTCTTTATCAATCCAATGCTAATCCCAGACCCTACTTCAGGATGCACTGGGTTAAAGCAAGTGCACAAATTGGACTTCATTCACTCTGGGGTCTCCAGTCCCCCCCTCATCTGCTCTTATCTGGACTTCAGGAGGAAACCCATGCAAATGTAGATTTTGGAAACAGGGACTTTCTCTTGATATGAAGCGACAGTCTTGGTCCGAGCCTCAGCGCTGTCCCACAAGACGCATTAGAAAGTCAATTTAGTGGAAGCCAGTGCATGGGTGTGAACTGTGAGGCTTACTTTCTCTGCCAGATCCTTGGACGCAAAGATCTCCTGGGGTAGAAAAAGAGAAGAAAAGAACAAAGAGAGAAGAAACATTATATTTATTCCCTTTCAATCATAACGTCAATGTTGCTTCCTCTTTCGGCTTCACTATGGTGCATGACTGGTTTATGTCAGTTTATAGACACTGTTAGTGATGGTTTCATGGCCAACCCTGGCTCAGCTGATATCCAGACTCAGGCATTGAAGGCCATTCACAGAAATATCTTTTAGTCTGGTTTTCTACAATTTGGCAGCACTCTCATATGTCACAGCCACATTTTTCATGAAATTAAATTAATCTTCAGTTCTTAAAGGTAAAGTGTGTAGAATTTTGTGATATCAAGTGTTGAAATTTCATGTTGCAGCTGAACACCCCTCACCTCACCCTCTCCTTCCAAACATGAAAAAGAACTTGTGGTAGCCTTTAATTGTCATAAAAACTCAAAAGGTGTTTAGTTTGTCCAGTCTGGACCAATGTAAAAAGTATTTAAATATAAAGGGACTTTTCTGGGGTAAAGAAAACTACAATTCATACAATTTAGATGAAACGAACTAGTGAAAACATCATGAGGATTATTCTACATTAAATTTCTGTCAATAGTTCCCTTTCACCTAAATCTTACACACTGGACCTTTCAATATTACAAACTTTGAGCAAATACGTCACATTCCCAATCACTAGCAGCTTGGCCATTGCTGGAATTGCATCTTTCTCCATAACATCAATGCCATATAACATCTTGAGGCATGAGGAAGCCGTTTTTGTCCTGTTGCATGTGTTGCCGTTACAATTTATTGCGTCAGACAACAAAGAGAGGACATAGAAGGGTCATCTTGGCTCAGCACGCAGGTCATTAAGAGTTATTCTAAGAGGGGAAAAACACATGAAAGAGGGAGAGGAGAGAGGGTGCTGTGTACCTCATGAGCCTTGAGGCAAATGAAGAGATGGACCCAGCTGTGCAGGGTTACAAATCAGAAAAAAGTCAACACAAAGCGAAACAAACAAGACAAACAGAAAAAAAAGAAAGAAAAAAAGATGGAAGGGGGACTGGAAAGCTGTATGGAAACAATTTGTTCAAGTCAATAGAAAACACTGAGGCGAGGGAAATGAGACAAAAAGAAGCCTTTGGGTCTTCTGACAACAGGATGACCTTTCAGCTGGGAGCAAAAAAAAGGAAAAAAAAAAAAGATTTACAGTGCTGGAGGATAAGAAACAGTGCGGGAGAGATTTGTCATACTGGAGGAAAGCAGAAACTCCTGTGACCCAAACACAAACACAAAGCACTGGTACACACACATCTGCATCAAATCCGATTCTACAAAGGCAGATTGTTTGACGTAAGCAGAAGATGGACTTTACTACTGTTTGTCCAATAAATTCATTGTTGATTGTTAATTTCTGATTTTAGTGGAGAAGAAGACCATGCATACTGTCAGGCTCATAGAAAAGCTTCCTATTAATTCTGGTTCACCATTGTTCAATTAAAAACTTTATCATTTTACTATAAATCAGAAATTATTGTTGGGGTCTTTTTTGATTTTCATTTTGTGTTATAGACTTATTGTATTGGCTTCTGCCCTGTTATATTTTACATGTTTTTTAATCACTTTGTTAAGGACTTTGTAACTTTGTTTTGAGTGCTGTATAAATTATTATTATTATTAAATTTATTATTTGGAGAAATGTGTACAAAATGATGAACAAGGCATCTAAAATAAGTCTATTTAATGCAATGGAGCAAACTTTATAGAGAGCTTTTCAAAAAAACGAATTTCACGAATTACAGAGTGCGGTTATATATGAAAATACTTTTACTGGAATCAAGAAATGTAATCAGTAGTTTTAAAAGAGGACACTGAGGTAGCATGTCTGTTTCCCAAGAAAAGCATATTTCACAGCAAATGCCACACTTCCCTCTGTTTCAAGGTTTGCACCGGGGACTGCGAGAACAGCTGGTCTGCAGATTTGAGAGAATGAGCAGAAACGTGAGGGGTGAGAAGGTCGATAATGTAAGACGAAGCAAGGCTGCTCAGTGATTTAAAAAAACAAGCAGATACATTTTAAAAATCAATCTTGAAAACCATGGGAAAACAATGAGGCGAGAAAAGTGCTCATATTTTCTTTCTCTTCTTAGAATCCTCAGCTGCAGTATTTTGGACAAATTGGGCATAGTTGAAAGATTTCTGGGGCAGTCAGGCAAATAATGAGTTACAGGAATGTGAATGGCCAGAGACAAAAGAAATAGTTAACACTTTTGCCTTAGTATGCAAAAATGTTTTTATCTCATCAATAATATCATAGTTCATTTAGTCATTTTGGTGAAATGTTTGGAAAATTCAGGTCTGAATCAAAGATTACTCCGATTTCAGGCACCGCATTTTCAAAGGAAGGTCAGATCTGGCTTTCAGGGTCCTTTTGTGACCTCCAGGCTGTGAGCGAGGTTACTGGTGAGCTCTGATTAATTTTTGGATAAATAAAATGTATGCATTGTCTGCATACAAATGAAGCAGATAACCTAACCCAGTAGAGAACAGCAAAGAACCACATCCATCCATTATCTTTGACATTGTGCGAGAGGCGGGGTCCACCCTCGCCAGGTCACCCATGGTCAATTTAGTGTCTACAGGAAGCCGGAGTAAAACCCGGAGAAAGCCCAGGCAGACACGGGGAGAACATGCAAACTCCACACGCACAGGGCCCAGGCTGATCCAGGATTTGGACCAGGAACCTTTATGCTGTGAGGAGACAGTACTCAATACTACACCACGGTCCTCTGCCAAAAGGACCCCAGATATAGTGTAACTGAAATAAATTGGGCCGTGAAACTGTGTGTGCTTTCAAAGAAATTGTACATCAATACTTGACCTCAATTTACCCTGGGCTCACTCTAAATCATCTTTCTATATTCCACGTGTGCTCAGTTTAACACGCTGCCACTCACTCACACTTGTGTTATGGTTCGGTAACATCTGGTCTGCACACTGGAATTTTGTATTTCATCATTGACTTACACAAAGCTACACACAGAGATAAAAATAGAAAGTCCTACAGTTACTGTGAGTATTTATGTTCACGTGTGTGTGTGTAACACAGAGCAACAGAGGAAGAGGAGGATAGAAAAGTGTAAAATGAGGACAGGCTCCATTCGCGGCAGTTACACATCTGTGGAATGGTAAAGACTGAAAGAAACGGCGGAGCTGGTGATGTTCCGCATGCCCTAAAACATGGCGCCATGTGAGACTAAACATCTCGATTCACATATTAAAACAGTAAGTCTGAAAATAACCGTTAGCAGGGGAAAAGAAGAAAGAGTGTCAGGTGAAAAAGAGAGAGAAACACAGAGAGAGAGAGACATTCCTGAGTTATTATAACTGTGTCTGCCTGGAAACGTCTATGGGATTGATTGCTGCGTCCTGGAGTCTGCCAGGGCTCTAAGTTAACACCAGCAAGAATAACTATAGGCCCTAATGAATAGATAATTGGATATAGGTCCCATTAATATGAATGAAGAAACCAGTGGACGTGGAAACAAAAATAAATTGCATTTATGGTATACTGGAAGAACTTCATGTATCAGGCGGCCCTGAAGTTACCATAAAACACACAGCGGAAATTTGCGGAGAAACGGCTCCCATGTGTGGCATAAGGCTCTGTATGCAAAGCACTCGACACTTTGAATGATTGCTACCAGCGAAGTTAACTGAACTGAAGTCATATAAAAGTCTGAACCTCTGAAGTGATAAAGACCGCGGCGGAGTTGAAAAACCTCTCGTCTACGGCAGAGCATCAGAGGGGAACAACAACCTCAACTAAGATTTGGTAAAAGTCCTGCAGACCAGTGCTCGCCTGCCAGCAGGAGCATCTCCGACAGCTCACACTGTCTCAGGAACAAAGCTGTTTTCAGAGTGTGTGTCTGTTCCTGTTATGCCTTGTGTCTGATGGAAAACATGTGTTGTGAGAGTTCATGCAGGGAAACAGTTTGTTCAAAAGTTTTTCCCTCAATGTTTAACTGCCTGTCTTTTTTTTCAGTTTAAGGTATTGTGATCTTGCATGTTTTATTCTTTTTTTATCTGTAGGGATGCAGAGCTTTCTTATTCTCGTGTGAGTGTGTTGATGGTCTGTTGTTTACCTGGTGAAACGTGTTTTCCAGCAGGTCATTCTCAGCAGCACGGCGGCTCTTGGGAGCATCAGGAGGGCACTGTAAGCACACAGCAGAAAGATCATTTAAGACATCGTAAAAGGCCACTTTGGTGATTTCAAACCCGCATCGTGTATTATTCATACAGAATCCCCTGCATATTTTTGCCTTATTGCTGGTTGATATGACAGAACGTCACATGAGGCACACAGATACAGCTTTGCATGGCATGTTTATTCTCAAAGATAAATATCTTCTTGAAGGCTGCGCAATAACCATCATTAACACACATCATTTAATGTCTTGGTGCAGAGCGCATGATGCACTTGTGCAAATGAGGCTTGAATAGAAGGGTGGAGAATGTGTCTTAGACCACTTATGTTTCAGATGAAACGTCAATCTGCTGTCACGTTGGGGATGCATCATGTGTACACATGCTAACCAGGACCCCCTTGGACCCCTCCTCGCAGTGGCTGGCTACTCCATGCCGCAAAAACACAAAGATGGTTCACCTGCTAGAAACCAGCATGTTGTCTGTCGGTGCAATCAGTGCAACACTTCATGTGTTTTCTCATCAATCATTTGTCACCGAACACTGAAGAGGACTCTTCACCCTCTAACCAACAGGACACAACCCAGCTGAACGCACAAACAAACACTGATGAGTATGACTGATGGGCACCTTTCTCTATTGAAGCTGAAGCTAGTTGTATTTATGTAATCACAGCTTACTAATCAAAAGCCTTTAATTAGTCACAAATAAAGTAGACTGGACTAAAAGGAGTGAACAGCTGTTTACCAGCATCTGGTACTAAAACTAACATTTGCTCATTTGCTAGGAGTGACATCAGTGATACAGAATTTTGGTCATAAACCTAATGCGCAATTTGTGCTGCAGGATCATTTATATTTCCTTCCTAGTAACTGCAGTTAGTACAGTTGCTGCATTATAACTGTTGTGGCAATGAGAGAGCAGCCAGCACTGTTGTGTGTGGATCCTAAAGACCATGCAGAGGCACACACAGCTAAGGGAATTTCACAGTCTTCTCCAGGAGCACTACCTGAGGCTGATCCATGAGCAGTTTGAAGATCTGCTAGCTTGGGTCGGTGCCAGGACCTAAAAAAACCATTTGTCTCATTCATAAAATTTGCTTCTGTTTGCGTCTTTGTATGGACTCTGTATGAAATCTGATGACCTGATGATGGCACTAGATTAAAGATTCATCCTGAGATGGCAAAAATACGAAAAACACATGTTGAACACAGCTAAACACCTCGAAAACACCAAATCCACTGAAATGTTTTATCCCTACCACCCAGTCCCAAACAATACAATGTACAGTATGCCCCATATACCATGAAATACTCCGATGTTCTACAGAGCTCAGACCACACGTTCAGAGCTATCAGATTTGTCTCATCCTTTTGTGTTTGAAGACACTGGATCCTTCATGAGTGTAAGAGCACACAAGTCCGTGCCTGTGCAGGCATGCTCCCCCACTCCTCATCTCAAATTGAAATGCAGCTTGGAGGGAGCCCTGCAGCACATACGCCTTAAGCAAAGGAGAAGAGAAAAATCTTTACGGCAACCGGTCCTTCCTCCAGAGGACTGTACAGACTTCAGAAGCAGCCTCTCTCTTTGGGGCCAGGTTTGTAAGAAAAACAAATTTGAGTCTAAATCCGTCAGTGTGTAATCAGATTTGTGAATATGTGAAATAATCTCCAAATGTGTATTTAGATTTGTCAATGTGTACATGGCTCTGCAAATCTGTATTTAGAATGTGTATGTTAACAGATCTGAAAATATGTATAAAAAAACATCAGCAAATACATATTCAGAATCTGTGTGTGTAATTGGATTTGGAAAAATGTAAAGGAAATATTTTCAAATAAATATTGAGATTTGCAAGTGTATTTATATCTGTAAATGTCTGTTAAGGCATACATGGAGATTAAGCTGAGAAGTAAGTATTCTGCTTCAATAGCTGAAAATAAAGACTCAGATTGTCTTTTTTTTATAAATTTGCAAATCCGCTCACACACGCGGGTTTTAAAAACAGATTTGCAGATCCATGTACATATTCACAAATCTCATTACACATTTGGAGATTTTTTTAAACATTCACGATTCACTGATTACACACAGGCGGACTGAGAATCACATTTGTCAATAGTTTTGCTACAATAATGTTCCTCTCTCCCTTATTTGTACCCCTCATATAAAACCATTCCTCAGGTAGTGGAAGAAAAAAGTAAAAACCATTCATCAGGTAATGAGAAAGACACATGCACACACACAAAAACACAGAAGCACCGACACCCTGGAGAATTGTGACAAATAGTTGGCTGAGCACAAAACTGCCTTCAGGCTTAAAAATAAACCCAAGAACCGGCTGTTGGTGTTTCATCCCGTACCTGAACAATCACTTGCTCTTTTTTTTTACCTGTCAAACATAGAAAATTTCTTGTTGTAATTATGTCCAGTGAAACTGTGTTGTTTGATCAGAGTCTTTTTTTTTACGCCTGCGAGCAGTAAGTGGACAAAACTGCAGGTTCAGAAAATAAGGCAACGAGAGAAAATAGAAGTATAAAGAAAAAAGAAATGGAGTAGATAATTGCATTTCTGAAGCAGCAAGAGAAAGCAAGTGATGCTTTCAATTAGGTGTTTAGACACTGTAGGAGTACAAACAATATTGGCGCACCACAGTGGATGTGACATAATAGCTCACAATGGAATTACTCTAAGCCCTAGTCAATTTGTTGACATAATGCCCGATGTTAACAAAGCCTCAGAAGAACTTTTGCTACCTAACATAATAAGACAAGGCTTTCTTATTTGTGGAAATCTAAGAGTAATTCATGGATTGCTTTACATTAATAACTCTCCCTGTATATCCGAATCTGGGGGCAGGGAGCTAAGTGTGTTTTCCTTTCCTTTCCGACCATTTACACAGTTGGAGCAAAAAAGACAAAGGGATGCATATTTATGTGATTATGTCTGCGGAGCAAGTTTATGGTGTTTAATTCTCATCATGCAGACACAGCTTCTTCCTGCAGCTGTTCCATAGAAACAACGATGTCCTTTACTGTGAAACAGCTGTAACAAGTGTCAAGTTAAGATGATAATATGTTGCTGCTGTGGGAACGCTGCACCTTATATGACGCCTGTCCAATTCTGCCGATAGCACCAATGGGAGGTTTTATGGTAAATTTTGCTCTACAACTCGCCAATGGGACCAGCATTTTTCGAAGGGGGGGGGGGGTAGGCTGGATATAGGGCAGCTCAGTCAGGACCACTTTAATCTGAATTAATTTGATTTCAATAATTATAATCAGTTAGATTTGGCGGTGTTCCTCTCTTCTGGGACCTCCCTGCTCTTCCATGTGCATATGCCTGGAAAGCCTAAAGCAGGGAGAGCATCCCTACTCATTCATTGGCCTTCATGGCGAGTGAGGTAGGGGGAGAAGCAGCTAAAAGACTCCCGCACAGAACAAAGCAGGCATCAATGATAACATATGACAGTGGTAAGATTCGGTGTGAAAAAGGGGGTGCTGGGGTGGAGGTGGTGTAGAGAAGTAGCTTTGCAGTGTGTGAAGTCTGTCAGTCTCACCCGAGCTCCAGGTATCTCGCAGCAGGCCTCCTGAATGGCGAGGGTTGGATCACAATACAGCATCACCTGCTGAATGTCCATCTGAAAAAGAAAAGAGCAAGATAAGGGAGAAGAAGAGATTGTGAAATATTCCACAGGCAAGTCTTTATAAATCCTCTGCATTGTTCGGTAATGTAAATGATGCAGATGAGGCTGTAAACAAAGTTGAAAGACTATTAATTTCTCAATTATATAAATTATTAGGAAAGCACTTAGTCGGAAGCTTTTACGTGTGTGCATGTGTGCATGTGTGTGTGTGTGCATGTTTGTATGTGTGTGTTTGCATATCCTTAGTTTTAAGACCATTAGAGAGAGGCCATTTTAGGAAATGTAAGGCGTTTTGTCTAATCCTCACTTTTACACACCTTTAAAAAGCTGTTCAAGGTTTAAGACATGGTTTTATGATGGTTAGAATTAGGTTTGGGTCTGGGTAAAGGTCTGGGGGAAGCATTATGTTAATGAATGTCCTTGCAAAGATAGAAGAACGCTCCCTCCCCGGGCTGACAAAAGACCCTACCTGCTTTCTAAGTAGGCCAGTTAATTGATCATCAAAAAGTAAGTGCTTGGATTACCAGGTCTATTCATCGCTAATAGTCCCAATTCACTTCAGGCCCATTCTGCCAGGTAGTCCCCTCGCTTTTTTTAATCAGGATTTAATGAGATTGACTCAAAGAAAACAGCAGCTCAGGGCCACAGCCTATAGTCTGCAACATAAACACATTTACACAAAAATGAAAACATACACATCCTCGCACAGAGAGAATTTATTATTTCAGTATAAAGGCCATCATGGGAGGCTGGTTCAAAGAAAACATTTTACTCTGTCCTCTCTGCTGTAAGCATTGCTCTATAAGGGGACTCTAGAAGAAAGTCTACGCCATTAAAATTCTATATGCCAAGGGTATACTGGATAGCATTATTCAGCAAATATCTACCAAACCATTCTCTTTGTTAGAGATCCCAATAAGGAGATCTGGTTTATTCACACCACTTATGCAACAGAGAGCTTAAAGGTCACCACGTTTTCAAAGAGTAAGTGTAGATGACATTTATACTGATCTGCCTCAACATTAAACCCAGTTCCAGGTATAATTGTCGTAGCTGATCTTCAGTACTCAAGGAGAGGCACACAATATATTCAATCACACAAGGCATTGTGTTTTTAATTGTGCCCATGTTTTTAGGTCTAAATTTTTGGATGCAAAAGTTTCCCTCATAACACAGAAAATGCATAAACTGAACTATGTTATGCTCCACTCCTTTAACTCTGGTTTGTCTGTTACTCTTTGTTCAAATTTGGCGTTTGACACTGTCGACCTCAGTGTTGACTCAATTTTAATCGACTATTTGGAAAAGTGGGAAGGCAGTAGACAGGCATTGATTGGTTATTTATACAAATCATTTATGTAGATCTTGAGAAAGCAGTAATTTCATCCCTGAGCTGTTGGTCTCATGCTCGCCTTCAGCCAACAATAACCAAACTTTATTTTGTCCAGGCATCTCAAGCTGGACAAATCTAGTGTAGCTTTTAGCTATTAGTATTATTATTATTATTACAATACCTGCACAGGCGCAGCATCAGAGGCCCGCATGGCCAGCAGAGTGTGTCCGTCAGTGGCCACAACTCCATGGGGCTCCAGGGGCTTGGTCTCAATGGACCTGCAGTCCACGTGAAGGGAGGCGACCCCTTGTTGCACGCTGAGCGCCACCTTGTGCCAGCGCAGGTCCATCAGTGCCTCCACCCCCTCCCCATTGAAAACACAGCTCACCAGGTCGGCATCAGCATCTACCCCTTTGGCTCTCAGTGACAGGGTGCCGTCAGGGCCACTGAGGTCCACAGAGAGCTGCATTTTGGGAAGAGATGTGGGGGTGGAAAGGTCAGAGGAAAGTGATGTTTGAATATGCAAAAATGCTAATGCAACAACAGTGTGTTCAGTATGCTGGCAAGTGAGCTCAGGCCAAGTGACTAAGAAAATGTACTGTATCTCAAGTTGTTTGAGTGGAAGTCGCTTCAGAAAACAGCTAATATGTACACGCTGCAACTCCCTAACAAAGCTGTAGAACACAGAAGCAAAGATAGGGTAAAGGGAAAGACATATTAATTACACACGTACACAGAGCAGCCAATCAATCACTACTAATGAGGCAGCGCAGGCTCTATCCATCATACACATTGAGTATTTAAATCTGGTCACAGACTTGAAGTGATTATGGCGACTCTGCGGGACTCCAGTGCTTCATCATGGAACACACATGAATAACAATGAAGGTGAATGAAAGAGGAGAGCGGAAGATGATTGAGGGAAGAGCGACAGCAAGACAGTGAGCAAGAGAGAGAGAGAGCGGGACAAGATGAAGAATAAAAGAGGACAAAAGACGTGTGGAATGAAAAGGGGGAGAGAATTGAAAAGGTGTCACAAGAGAGAAGAAATCGAAGGCGAAAGTGGATGACTATGCAAAAGAGATGTGAGAGGCAGCGGCAAGAATGAATAGACAAAAAGTGAGATGACTAAAAGGTGAGAGACCAAGGAAAAGAGTAAAGGGAAAGAGGGAACATCATAAGGGAGGGATAGTGAAAAAGATGCAGGGATATGTAAAGCAGGCAGTATATGGAAACAAGAGCGTGAGGTGCACCTGTGGGTATCCCTGCTGATCAGATATCTGGAAGAGGTAGGTGGTGTCCCTCAGGGCGGCCTTTTTTAAAGCCAGGGTGAAGATCAGGGTGTACTCCTCTGGTAAGCCATATGGGAACACCTGACTGCAACACAGAAATTCACAGAGGTCAGGAACACAAAGTTTAAAGCACCAATAGTTCACATTTATGATGAACACACAGGGAAATAGTGAAGAGCAAACAAGTCTACACATGATTGTCTAGTTCTTGTATGTATAATAAGTAAAAAATATTAAAACAAATCCTAACATAATGGGTTATGACATTTTGAATAACTGGTTCATCCTGTACTTAGGGAACATTGAAGATGCTGTTCAAATTAAAAGTGTCTGACTGAAATTTTACTCATGGCTAGTAAAAAAAAAGCTTTAACTAGAAACTGGCACAAAACTGAACCCCCAGGGAAAGAACACTGGTTTGAAGTTATCCAGGAGAGTTATGCAATGGAAAGGTTGACATACCAACTGACAGTTAAAGACATATCTTCGACAAGAAATGGAGGAAATGGACCATCTGCATTAAGAGCGATGCCAACAAATAACTGGACAATATATGAATGACTGTAAAGGAAAACGGCTCTGTGCCTGTATTGCCCCTGACTATGTTAAGGATTGCAACTATTTGTGAAAAGAAAATTATAAAAAAAAACAAAAAAAAACAATTCTGATAAACCCATCGTACTGTTAAAGCTAAAGAAAGAATGGTTAGCACTGTTGCCTTACAGTAACAAGGTTCTTGGTTCGAACCTGGCGGCCGATTGGGGCCCTTCTGAATTGGCATGTTCTGCACATGTCTTCCCAAAGTCCAGAGACATACAACTTGGGTTAATTGGTGTGAATGTAAGTGTGAATGGTTGGAGGTTGTCTTTATATGTCAGCATGGGATAGCCCTGGGATACAGTGATCTAATTATTCATGGTGTACCCCATGTTTCGCCCAAAGTCGGTTATGATTGGCTTGAGATAACGAATTGATGGTGGAGACCAAAACCAGAGCTAAACAGAGTAAATACTGGAATTTGATTGGTCGTGGGGACATACCCTCAGCTCAAACTGCGTGCCATAAGTCGCTTGGTATCTGCCGGATGTGTTAAGAATTTGCTAATGTGTTCATGTAAAATCCAGGATTTATGAAGCTTGACAAAGTCTCTTAAATATCTCAGTCTCTCCTACTTGGATTTTGACTTATACTGCTGTTTTAATATGTCTCTTCTTAGAGAGAAGTGCGATACTAAATCTTTGGAATACCCTTTAAATGTCTAGCGACACTTATCTCTGAGACCTTAATAAAATAGAGTATATCGCCATACCACTCGAATTGAACCATTTCCATTCTGCTAGAGCACTTAAATTTTGTGTCAAGAACTGTATGTAAAAGTATATATGTTTGAACATGTGTAGATAAGTATATGTGAGTATGTGTGAGGATAGTATGTACAGTATGTACAGGAAAAGTGTAAATGTATAACTGAAAATCTGATACCAATCACATGTGTATTGTGTGTTAAAGAGAGTCCATAGAGAGACCTAACATTATATTTAATTAGGCTTTGGCCCCATTAAGATAACTTTTGGGTTCACATACAGTATCTTCTTTGATATATTTATATAAGAGCAGTGACAAATTCATCTAATGTGTTTCTGGGCTTTCCCTCTCCTGTGTGAGTATTTTTATTTATATATTCGGTGCCTGTTTTTTCTTCCCCCTATTTTTTCCATTTCCCTTTTTCCACCACAACAGCCAGCAGTGCAATGCAGCGCTCGCTGTGTGTAACCCACTGGCATTAATTTTCAGAGCAGATACGGTCCTGCAAGCCTCATCCCTCAGCTTTGGTCAAGGGCATCTAAACACACAAATAAATACACACACA